GGCTTCATAAGGGCTCTATATATAGCTTTCTGGATTTCGGGGAGTAGGGTGTAGGGTTTCGGGGTTCAGGGCTTGTAGGGTTTAGGGATTTAAAGGTTTAGGGTTGAGCTCCGGGAGCCAGCATTTCGGGCATCAGTGCTCAGGGGCTTTGAGCTCTGGGGCTTTCTAGAATCCAAAGTCTAGGGTTCAAGGCTCTCAGAATCTAGGGCTCTCAGGTTTGTATATTTCCAGTTTATAACTTTGAGACAGATTAGACGCCTGAACCCTAACCCCTAACCGTAAAAACCCTAAAACCCTAAGAACCCTAAAACCCCTAAATCCAACAATCATGAGCCTTAAACCCGAAACACCCATGACTGGCTCTTACCGGGTTCTTGTGACGGAATCAAATTTAAGTTACCATTATTAGGACGCCTTATAATCTGCTGTAAACTAAGTTCCTAAATCCTATAAACCCTAAACCCTTATGGAACCCTTAAAGGAGCTCTGAAGTATGATACAGCAACTCAAATCAATCTCCTAAACCCTAAATGCTACCGAAACCCTCGTAGAACTGTAGAACCTTTAAAGACACCCCAAAGTACGGCCACTTAAACTAAGATCCTAAACCCTAAAGGCCTCTGCGGCCACTCGACAACTCCTGGCACCTCCCATTGCCTCGGCCCGGCAGCGGCTTTGATTCGGGGATGGAGGGGGCTTGGAGGTTTAGGGCTCGGATTCCTGCCTCGAGATCTATACAGGGTTTAAGGCTTGGGGCTTAGGGCGTTTAAGGTTTACCTTAACCCGGAAGAGCATACATTTTTAGGGTTCCCTATTATAATTTCTTTATATAAGTCCTACACAAGGTAGCTTCTTCAGGGTTTAGGGTTTAGGGTGAAGGAAGGTCTGTGTGGGATCGCCTCGCTCGAGTTGAGCTTCCGGGGCTCGGAGCTTCAACCCCAAACCGGCCCTTCCCAGAGGCCCCATAGTTGTTCCTTTTTGGGATTACCTTATAGGATTCTATACATGCACCCTAAAGAGGAACTACTTCGGGGCCTCTGGGTGCAGTCCCCACACACACACACACTATCGGGAAGAAAGACCTGAAATCCCAGTTTAGGGGTTTAGGGTTTTGGGTTTTAGGGGCCCAGTAAAATGCAGAAATGGCAAACCCGAAGTTGTAAACCCTAAAAGGCGTAAACCTTCAGGGCCTAAACGATAGACCCGAGACGCCAGCAGTTTCTGATACTGGTGCGCTCGAGCCCGGAACACAAATTACTCGAAACCCCCCCTCTTCTTGAGCATGTAGAAAGCCCTTGCGCGATTTGGGCCTCGTCTATCGTTCCGGTCATCTTTAGGTAGCCTGTAAAATATATGTCCGGTCTTGATCTACTAATCTTCGCCAAGATCCGACCCTATGAAAACCCTTCTCATCTCTCCACCTTGCTTTGATTCTACAAATTCTTAGACTCTTAGAGAACCCGAACCCCCACAGTGCCCCCGACACCTGAACCCTAAGCCCGACACCCTAAGCCCTAAACCCTGCTCTCACTCTACATTGCATGACTGGACGCACACCTGGACCCGAACCCCTAAACCCTGAACCCAAACCCCAAACTAAAAACCCTAAACCCCAGACCCTGAAATCCCCAAACCCCAGACCCTAAAATCCCCAAACCCCCCTTTAGATGATTTAGACCCCAAGGGACTCTGCGGTGGCGCGCAGCGTCAGATCTGCAGGGGCACCCCCCTCGCGACACGGCTCTGCCTTCGGCGCTTGCTTTGGACTCACCGTGGCTTTCAGGTTCAGGCTTTAGGTCTATATGGGTTTAGGGTGAAGGGTCTGGAAAAAGGGTTCAGGGCTCAGGGTTTAGGGTTCAAGGTTTAGGGTTTACAGGCTTGGGGGCTAGTGTCCTTCAGGCGTATTAAAGCTGGTTTTAACATTGAGGGTTCAAGGTCCTTAAGAAATCATTGTTTAGGAGCTGACGAGGAGTAATGCTCAGGGTGATGGACTTAATCTACTTAAGACGTACGGGTGTTAGGGTATGGGATTCTTGGCTGGGCTTGACTTTGAGGCAATAGGGTTATGTGGCTCGTCGGGTTTTGATCATGCGAAACATACCCTAAACCCTAGGGACTTTTAGAAGTAGGCTACGAGGGGGCGGGGAGTTATCAATAAGATAATCCTATACCTGCTCTACTTCGAACTCTGCCTAGAACCTGCTTGGTATTTGTTTCTTGAGGCGGTTTGGCTTAAGTTTTTTCTTGCGATGCTTGTAATTTGCTGTGGGGCTTAAGGGGTTTATGGGTGCGAAGGAGTAACATCAGGTACCAACTGTGGCCACAGCTTGCAGCTGTAATTCTGCAGCTTGCAGCATGCAACCTTACCCCATCTTGCCGGCTATCAAAGCCAGTCATTGGTCCCTAAACTCTGAACCCTAATCCGAATAACTGCCCACGAGCCCGTTTAGGGCGACAGCGGCTCCTGCATTGCTGGGGATTTGGGGTGCCGCTTTGGGGTTTTGGATCCGCCCGTCTGCAATGACTTCGTACTTTTTTTAATGGTTTTCCTAACCCCAGGGCTTTGGATTGATGCTAGCTGGGAACTTCATAATACCAGATGAATCAACCGTAGCCGCAATGGTCTCGGATAGTCTCCAACAGCGCTGCCTGAAGTGCACCGCAGCCCATGCTGCAAAAGTGAGGTGACCAGGATGCTGGCTGATGGCTCAAAGTGCGGGACCCCAAAGAAGGCCGGCGAATAGCAAAACAACGTGAAACCTTGCGATGATGCATTGCTGAGGCTTGCATGCTATGTCTGGATCAGCTCATGCTGCAGTGCCTGTAACGAACTACGAGCACCAGCCAGGAAAGCTGCAGAGTTGACTCGAGCAAGCGTCCGTTGCATGCTTCATGCGGGATGCGAACCAGTTTGCTGCGACACTTACTGAAATCCACATACCCTCATGTTAGCTGCAACTGGTGCCAAACCTTACTCACATGGACGGCCCCGGAAACAACGACAGCATACGGTTTAACCGTTTAACCCACTACAGAGAAGATTTGGCCTACAGGGGTCCAAAATCCCAGACCCCCAGAGCACATCTTCTGCAAGGAGCACGTTCGACATGTAACGACAGGAGCTAGTCCACCAAAACAGCTCATGTTCTCGAAACACTAACTAAACAAAACCCTCCCCCGACAAACCCTAAACCCTCAAACCCTTAAACCCTAAACCCTTAAACCCCTAAACCCTTAAACCCGAAACCCTTAAACCCCTCAACCCTTAAACCCTTAAACCCGAAACCCCAAACCCCTAAACCCTACACCCTACCAGAAGAGCCGGCTCTTCACGGTCGCTGCTAATTCTGGTACTATGCAGATGGAGCTCGTTGGCCCCATGGGAGTGCTGCCGTGAGATGTCGGTAGCCTCGGTGCGACTTGGGTCTTGATGTGTCCGCTGCGATGAGCTGATTGCACTAGCTAAAAACTGCGTCGACTTGGGTCTTGCAGATGCCTGGCAAGCAGCTCCGGGTGGGTCGTCGATCCAAAAATGGGACTTCTCACGGCCATGTCGGCAGTGAAACCCTGAGCGGGTTTGCTTAGGCTCATCGGCCGTAAGCCTTGTTGAAATTCCGAGAAGCTAGGACCAGCTCGTCACAAGCTCGTGGCCTATGGCCTGCAACTCTCTGGACGCCTCCTTTTGCAATGAATACGTGGCAGGCATTAGCTTGGAGACGACACCATTCGCAGCTTAGAATCAAAAATCCTTCTGCTGCAGCTGAAGAACCGGCCCCTTGTGACAGCATGGCCTGCTCTGTGGAGCTCATTGGCCCCGATACAGGCTGCTGCCTGCTGCGAGGTCTTGGCAGCTTGACTTGGTGGAGAAGCCAGACCACGACATTGGCAGCGAGCGTATGAGGCTCCCCGAGAGATCTTGCGATTCGCCACTTCGCCGAGCTTAGTTTGCCTTTTCAGGCTTAGCTGGAACAACACACACACACATCAGGAGGAGCCGTCTTGCACTTGCTGCCTCTTGTTGAAGCAGATATGCAACAGCTGGGATCTGATCGGATGGGACCGTCGCGACAGACGGAGCTCGTTGGCCCAGGGATGCACGCGAGAGTTTGCCGTGAGATGTCGGCAGCCTCAACTTCCCCTTGAGTCTTAGAGAGATAACTTGCAGGTAGCCTCGGTGAGAAACTCAAGTCGAACTTCTCACGACGATGTCGGGAATCGAGAGCATGAGACTCCAGGCTGAGAAGATCCACACTCTCCCGTCGCCCGGTGCTCACAGGCTCAGGCATTTCTTAGGCCCCTAGGCTTTCGATCTTCAGAAACCATAAACAGCAGTTCCAGAGTCGGTCATGAGCTCCTGCTACGCGCTGCCTCCTTTAGGAAGCAGTTTTGTGCAATATTTGCAATAGCTCTATGGGATCTTCTGATCTTGCGTAGGCAATGGTGGCCCGGGACACGGCATTGCGCGTCTCACATGATGAAGGGGAAGTGAAACATATAGATGATGGATTCACGGATAGAGCCTGCATTTCTGTGGGCGGGATTTGGTTTAGCTTCGATCTAGGAGCTTGAGGAATCCAGTCCTATGGAGATCTCCAGAATTTAAGTTAAGGCTCCTCATACATGACATGGTGGTTCCTGGGATTCCTTGCCGCTCAACCTCCCACTCCCCAGGCCGGAGCTCGCCTCCCCCAAACTTTTCAAGCGAAGCTCGAGAAAGACGACGACACGTCTCCTTAGAGTTGTGCCGGAAGCCTCGTTGTACACGACCGTCTGCTCCCTTGAACCTGTACCTGCGACACCGATCCCCTGCCGCGAGCTCACCGCAACTGCTGCGGCCCTTCACCAAAGACATCCAAAGACCGGAAAGACACCGAAAAATCCGATGTGCCTCCGCCCTGCCGTCGCAGCGGCGGCTCAGGGCTCAGGGCCTTGCCTTGCCAAGACCCCAAACTTCGGAAGCTGCGAGGGGGAGCGCCGGGGGGGGGGGATCGGGTCGCAGCTCACCCTCCCAGGGCCTGCAGCTGCCAGAGCTTCAGCGTCTTGTCAGTGCTGCCGCTGCACAGCACGGGCTCCCCCCGCACCTTCGCCATGGTCAGGGCTGGGATCGCGCCGCTGTGGGCCCGCTTGACATCGTGCAGCGGCTCGCCGCTCTGGACCGACCAGACGCGGAGTCGGCCATTGCCATCGGCAGCTGCGAGGTGGTTGGGTGCCAGGAGGCACAGCGAGCAGACATAGCCCGTGAGGCCTTCGAGGACCCGCACGGTCGTCCAGGTGCTGAGGCTCCAAAGCCGCACCGTTTTGTCGTCGCTGCCACTTGCCAGGAGCTCGGCAGATGCCTGGTAGAGGCAGCGAACAAAGTCTGTGTGGCCGCGCAGCTCCTGCTGCTCCTCGCCCGTCTCGGGGTTCCACACTCGGAGGGTGTAGTCACCGCTCCCGCTGACCAGGCTGCCGGTGGTCGCGAGGCAGAGGCAGCACACAGAGTCTCCGTGGCCCTGGAGCACTCGGCACTCTTCCGGCTCTGCGAGGCTCCACAGGCGGACGGTCTTGTCATCGCTGGCACTTGCGAGCCGAGTGTCATTGAGCCGCGCCAGGCCATTCACGTCGCCCGTGTGTCCGCTGAGGACTTGCAGCGCTTCCTTGCTGTGCAGGTTCCAGGTGCGCACCGTGCTGTCCGCGGAGCCACTGGCGAGGATCTCGACAGACATCAGGCACAGGCTGTACACAGCCTGCTCGTGGCCCACCAGTTTGGAGGGAGACTCATCGGTCATGCCGAGATCGTGGAGGAGGATAGTGCCGTCCTCGCAGCCCACCGCCAGCCCGCTCGGTCCAGCGGCGCAGGCGCAGTACACCTCCGAGTCATGCGGGACGCAGTGCACTTCGGTGGGATCCTTCGAGAAGCCGCGCACGCCCCAGGCCTGCAACAAAGACAAACGTGCGCATGCTCTGGCTTGGCTTTCAAAACCGGGGATTGGGGCTCTTGCAAACTACACAGCACCGTACTTTTCAGTAGGAACGGCCGCTCAGTGCGCCACAAGGTCTTGTGCGCAGCGTTCTCGCCGGGCTGTTTCCACCCCCGCGCTCTAAACCTCCGTTGAAATCCTCTTTCGTTGTTGGGGAAATCCCGTCTCAAGCATGGGATGCGTCGATGGGACACTGATGGGACGCATGGCTCGACTTCGAGGGTCGACGCTGGGTTCGAGGACCTAACTCCACAGCACAGCGGTGGTACGCTTTCCGGGCAAAACCCGGCTCTTGTCGTGCTGTACATCGCTGCATCTCTGTGCGAAAGATACGCTGCGGTGTTGCTACAATGCTACAAATTGCTAGCTGCTCGCTTATGCTTCATCCGAGTTGGACTCCTCCCCAAGAACCGCAATACCGCCCAACCTTAACCTCAAACAGTCTGGCTACAGCTTAGGGCGGCTTATGGCGGCCTTACAACAGAAGCATCAACTCTACCATCTTGAACGGCGTGGGACTGCGATGTAAATGATTCCACGCATGACCTGCCTGAAGATATAGTGGCGTGTTGCACTCATAGCTCTTGGTCTTGGCCGCACGTGTCTGAGCCGGTTCGTCGTAGTAGGTTGTCAGCGGTTTGCAAAGTGTTCACTTAAAGACAAGAACGATCGACTGGAAATGAAAGCCCAGCAAAACTTGCAACAAAGAAGATCTTCAAACAACGTCAGCATGAGCTTGGAATAAGGATCCATTCGCCGTTGGAAGTCACCTGAAACATCCCTGCTACCAGCAGGGTACACCGGGACAGCCGTCGCCTTCGAAACAAGCTCTCCGCAAGTCGAACGACGATTTCCGCGCGGTTATCTGCGACATGGTGCAACACAGCTTCGCCAAAATTTAATGTTTCTGAGACCGATGTCACGCCGTTTAAACTTTTCTACCCGGAGTCCTTGCAAAGCATGCGAACAGGTGTCCCGTCCCCGTCCGAGGCCTAAGTCGGCCTCAGTCTTTTGTCTTTGTCTTCAATCGATACGAACTCCGAAAGGTGCGAACCTGGTCACCTGGTCTCTACGAGTATGTTGGGCTCGTCTGCAGACGGCACAGCAAAATTGAAATGAGCATCAGTTCAGCCAACACGCTGACCAGCAGAAAGACTCCCAGCCCTGTGCCCCGAGCCTGCAGCTGCCAGAGCTTCAGGATCGAGTCAATGCTGCCGCTGCACAGCACGTGCTCTCCGCGCACCTTCGCCATTACTAGCGCTCCGATCCTTCTGGTGTGGGCCTGCTTGATATCGTGCAGCGGCTCGCCGCTCTGGACCGACCAGACGCGGAGTCGGCCATTGCCATCGGCAGCTGCGAGGTGGTTGGGTGCCAGGAGGCACAGCGAGCAGACATAGCCCGTGAGGCCTTCGAGGACCCGCACGGTGGTCCAGGTGCTGAGGCTCCAGAACCGCACCGTTTGGTCGGCGCTGCCACTCGCCAGCAGCTCCGGCGAGGCCTGGCAAAGGCAGTGGACATAGTGTGTGTGGCCGCGCAGCTCCTGCTGCTCCTCGCCCGTCTCGGGGTTCCACACTCGGAGGGTGTAGTCACCGCTCCCGCTGACCAGGCTGCCGGTGGTCGCGAGGCAGAGGCAGCACACAGAGTCTCCGTGGCCCTGGAGCACTCGGCACTCTTCCGGCTCTGCGAGGCTCCACAGGCGGACGGTCTTGTCATCGCTGGCACTGGCGAGCCGAGTGTCATTGAGCCGCGCCAGGCCCCGCACAAGGTCCGTGTGTCCGCTGAGGACCTGCAGCGCTTCCTTGCTGTGCAGATTCCAGGTGCGCACCGTGCTGTCCACGGACCCACTGGCCAGGACATCATCAGACATTAGGCACAGGCTGCACACAGCCTTCTCGTGTCCCACCAGCTTTGTGGTAGACGCATCGGTCATGCCGAGATCGTGGAGGAGGATAGTGCCGTCCTCGCAGCCCACCGCCAGCCCACTCGGTCCAGCGGCGCAGGCGCAGTGCACCTTCGAGTCATGCGGAACGCTGCGCAGCTCCGCCATCTGGGAGAAGTCTACGTCCTTCGTGCCCAATCTGGCCAAGGCCTCGGAAGCCGTCATAGTCATTGCAAACTGAGCATTCGGACTCTGTTCCCAATGCATCGGCAAAGTTTGACCTGAGTCACTCCCCCCCTCCGCTGCGTCTCGCCTGCGTGGCTTGGAAGGCCAACGCCACGTCGCTTTGGAGCTGGGCATCGACCAGGTCCAGCGCCCAAGGTGCCTGCCGAGCGACCTGCCACAAAGAAACATGTCAACTGCTCGTCACCTCGAGACACCCCGGCATCTCTGCCAGCCGCCGATCGCGGCTTCGGAATCTCACAAGGCTGAGACCCAGACCTCCAAGGCCAACTCCCGGTCGCTGCGCAGTGCGGGGCCAGCGAACTCCAGCACCTCGGCGGGCTTCCAGAAATGGGCTGAGTGGCGGTCCCGCCAGTGTGCATGTGTGCAAGACTCCATGTCAAGAGCCGAACAACAAAGCCTCACGCACGGCCTCTCGACATGGCCCACAACATACCTCAAGCTGTGTATAGCCTCAAGATCCTTTCTCCAAAGCCTGCGAAACCCACAGCAAAGAGCCCTCCGCTCAAAGACGCTTCAATCTCAAGCTGCTCCTGCGGAACACTCGCCTCACCCTCTCACGATTTGTCCCAAGCGCAGCCGGTTGGAGCCGCATTGCATCCGCGACGAAGTCACGATCCTCGCGAGTGATGCTACAAAGCAGGGTCTGTGGCTCTGGGGAGTCCGCTGCAGTGCAGATTTGCAGGCTTCGATGACAAGCATCGTACTTCAGATCGCTTCCTACTCTACTCTGCGTCCTCCCGAAAGCCCGCGGCGAATTCGAGGGCTCGGGGATGCCGCTGCACTGCTTCCAGCAGGAAGGATCGGTCCGAGCGCAGGGCCTGCACCAGGCTTTGCAGAAGAGAAGCCCTCAGCCCTTCTCAAAACCCGGCAAGACTGCGATGCCACAAACGCAGAGCAGTTTCGGCATGACGACGATGCCCTCAAAGTACGGGGCTCTCACCTCTGGCGCATCGGCCAAGCAGGCGGCATCGTGGCTGATGCAGGCCAGGACCACGTCGCGGTCGTTCCGAAGATCTGCGGGTGCCTGGCTCTGGGCAGCGGGTTCGTCTAGAAGGTTGAAGGACTCTCTCACGGCTGAGGCATCAACGCCACCCTCCCTCCGGCCTTCTGCAGGGCCTCTCTCACGGCATCGAAAGGTGGCATCGGAAGTGTGGGAGCCAGGAAGTGGGGGTCTTCCCGGAGTTTCTTGCTCAGTTCCTTGGGCCCGAAGCCCTTCAGCACGACCTGCTGGAGGAATCCTTCCGCGGTCTCCAGGCCCGCTTGAGTGCACAAGGCCTTGACCTCGCCAGGAGTGGCTCCCAGCTCCAACATCTCCCCCACAGACACCAGGGACCAGTCCAGCAGCTGCACCCGCTGCTCCTCCAAGAACGCCAGCATCGACCAGACCGAGGGCTCTTCGCTTCGCAGGGCCTCTGAATCGAGCCCCTCGCTGAGCGGCTTCCCATCGTGCCGGAGCCCGGCGGCTGCTAGCATCTTCAGTGCTTTGCCACTTTTCGAGTGGAGTGCGCAGTGCAGTAGTGTGAAGGTGCGAGGGGTTTCTCCAGCTGCCATTGCCGTGGTGACGCCAAGGTCGGCATCCAGGTCCAGCAGAGCCCTCAGGATCTCGAAGTGGACTGGCTGGAGGCCTTGCGGTCGAAGCAGCACCGCGTGCAGCGGGGGGTGACCGTCTTTCGCACTGCTGGGGGTGTTGGGGTCGGCCCACTCTGCCAGCAGCTGCTGGACCTTGGGAAGGTTGCCATCGGCGCCTCGGCACAGCAGGAAAAGGCTCAAAGGGGACAATGCGCAGACTCCAGCACGTCAGATCTCACAATCCTCTCGAAAGTCGAAGGATTCGGACGAGCTGACGAGCTCGAACTGAAAGAGGAAGGCTTTGCTGCTGCAAAAAAAGCACTTGGCCGGGCGGGCTTCGGCCCTGGAGCAAACTAAAGCGATTTCAGGAGGGCGGCCACTGCAAAAACGGAGCCGCTTGCGCTGCTCCCCTGTTGCTTACATCGCCTCTTTCTCTAACACCGGCATTTCTTGCGACTACAACGCCACAGCGAGTGTCGGAGGGGGCTTCAAAGACCTGCCTCGAGGAATGTAGGTCAGCGAAGAGGCAACACTCAAGTGCGGCACCACCTCTTCTTCAAAAAGTCTTAGGTGTCTTCGTTCGATATGCCGTGTAGTGGCGCCGATGGCATCGTAGGAAAAGGCTCAAAGGGGACAATGCGCAGACTCCAGCACGTCAGATCTCACAACCCTCTCTCGAATCGAAGGACTCGGACGGGCGGGCTTCGGCCCTGGAGCAAATCCAGGCGATTTCAGGAGGGCGGCAGCCCCCCCTCGAAAAGGAGCCGTTTGCGCTGCTCCTCTGTCGCTCACAAACGCTTACATCGCTTCTTTCTCTAACACCTGCTGTTCTTGCCGCGGCCCCTTCGTGGCTAAAGTTTCCACAACGACTGTCGGAGGGGGCTTCAAAGACCTGCCTCGAGGAATGTCTTTGAGCGAAGAGGCAACACTCAAGTGCGGCACAACCTCTTCTTCAAGAGGTCTTAAGTGTCTTCTTTCGATGCTCTGCGTACTGATGACATGCTCGTGCCCCCAATTCAACGAGGTGCATGCCGGAAGGAGACAAGGCAGCCAGCGAGAGAGAGAGAGAGAGACAGGAGAGAGAGAGAGAGAGAGAGACAGAGAGAGAGAGAGAGACAGAGACAGAGAGAGAGAGACAGAGAGAGAGAGACAGAGAGAGAGAGAGAGAGAGAGACACAGAGGGACACAGAGCCAGAGAGGCCGCACACGAGCACTCTGTGTTGAGGCCGGCACAGGATGCAATCAGTTCCTGGCTTTGGACCAGCCGGCGCTTCACGGCAGCACCCAGATCATCCTTCGCCTCGCGCAGCCTCACACGTCTGAGATTCACTGGGTCAACTTCAGGATTCCGATGTCACCCCAAATTAAGCGGGATCAAGTTTTGACTCTGCTTTTCGTAGCAATTCAGCTCAGTCGCTGGTCCAGACCGCCGTCTGCACACTGGACGGCCACGGAGACGAGGCGCGCGACGCCTCCATCGAGGGTGCTAGCATGGTTACCCTTCTATCCACGACGAATAGCATGTAAGGAGGCGAAGGCAAACAAACAGGCAAGCAAATGCCAACAGCAGCGGCGGTAGCGAACTAATAAGAAAGGGTCCAAAATCAAGAGCATTGCAACTCACGTGCATGGGGCCTTCATCGCCTCCCGACTGGCGAAGCTTCAACAAGCCATCCAGGAGGGGCACCTCAGGTGTGGACATCCGCACATGCCGAAGAGTGTTGATTCTTGTCGTGCCCTCCCCGCCTGGCCGTCCTTATCTCGAGCTTGGAGGTCGGCGCGAGAACAGAGAAGGGCCCACATCGCCCGCTCGTGGCCCTGCGCCATGGCTTCGTGCAGCGGCGTCCGCATCATCTTGGGATCCGTGTGGTTCACGTCCGCACGGAAGGCCAAGAAGATGCTCACGAGGTGCGCGTTGCCCGCCTTCGCCGCCTCGCAAGTCGCATCCAAGGTGGCACACCACGGGGAAAGTAAAGTGGGCCCTCACCCCCTTTAGTGTTTAGAGCAAGAGCAGGGCAGTCCTTGTGAAGGAGACCCTTCTTGTCGTCATTCAGCATCTCCTGGCTTTGGGATCCAGCTTCGGGAGCTTCGTTGGTCGGAGGATGGCGTCCCTTTGAGCGGAATAGCTTGGCTCGGAAAGAAATCTCGATGCCTGCGGCGCTCTCTCTCTCTCTCTCTCTCTCTCTCTCTCTCTCTCTCTCTCTCTCTCTCTTGTTGACACACGGTCAGCACAAAAAACGCATCTGCATGGGAAGCCTGATCGGTGCCGAAAAGCTGTACCTTTTCCTTCGAACCCTCAGCTTGAATCTAGAACCCCCCGCAACTCTCAGAAGTCTCGTCTCGCATGTTTCAGTCGACACCAACCCCCAACTCGACGAGCCAGAAAGAAGCAGGATCCTGGAGTTCGGCGTCGGCGTTGGGGCCCAGGTTCTCCTTTGGAAGGAGCGGCGTTCGCGCGCGATTTGGGAGAAAGAGAGATGCTGGCGCAAGAGGAGGGCTTCGAGCTTCTCGGAGCTGCAAGTTCAAAGCGCACAGCCCCTGCCCGAAAACCGCGGTCCTTGCCCCACTGCAGGATGTTGTGGCACCTCTCCACAGCATTCGGCTCTGCAACTGCTGCCATGACCTTGTTCGAGATGCAGAGCAGCTGTTCTCTAACTTTTCACTGCAAAAAAAACCTGGTAAGAGTAGGTGGCAGAAGCCCGAGATGTTCGACTTTCCCTTTTGGGAGAGCGCTGCTGCCACACTGTCAGAGGGGAGGCTCCGCCAATCTTGCCGAGGCTCCTCACGGGAGACCTCGAAGGCCCGGTGCCCCGCGTTCTCTTTCACGTGCAACATCCACTTCGTGTTCAGCCTCGGCACACACGGGGTTCAGTTCGAGACGGCTCAAGAACACCCTAAGCTTCAGAACGAACCCTTGGCTCTCTTGCGTTCAAGCAGGTTCTGAAGCATGCGCTCTGCGCAGCTCCCAAGGAGTCATACCCCGAATCTTTATGTGCGGATTTGCTCCAAACGCTCGCTGAGCTGAGAGCTGAACTTCGAAATTTCAAGCCAGAGCACAACAGCAAGAGAATCTGGAGGGCGACGATCAATCATACCCCGCAGTTCTACCGACACAGTGAGCGAGCGCCTTATGACAGGCGAGAAGCTGCAGCTCGCAGACCATCCCGTCGATGCGGAAGCTCAGCTGAAGATCCTGGGATGGGGTTTCTTTCGGCTTCGGGCGCCGGACAACTGCAAGAAAATCTCCCAGAAGCATCCCTACAAGGGAAAGGGAGGAGCGAAGTTGAGTAGGTTTCCTGTCACTCAGGATGCCCCTCGCGTTTCAGCTGCGAAGTGGGACAGTGCAGGTCGTCTGCCTTCTTCCAGTTAAGCCAAGGATCACGATACCCTCCGTCGAGCGGGTTCATGTAACGGTCGTTACACTCGATAATGTCGATCTCCTCGTCTTCGTGGATCGCTCGGAGACCTTTGTACCTGGAGGGGCTGCAATCATCCTACCTTCACCCTGGCAAACACCTTTTCGGCTGCAAGTGTCTGAGTTTTCCCTTTTCCAGGGTCCCCACATGTCATCCAGATTCTTGTAAACGATGGTGTCCCTCACGATGTCGGTCAATCTGTGCCACGAAATGTCGCCGTTCTTGTCCTGCAAATGGAGCAGGGTGATGCAAGCTTCCTTCCATTCCTGTCTGTGCAAGAGCTCTGAGAATCGCAAACACGCAAACTACGAAGAAGACCCCGGAGTCAAGTTGCTGTAGTATGAGAACCCGGAGATTCCGACGGCGTCCTTGTACTTGAACTGCGCCTTGTCCCGGCACCTTGGCATGCCCTTCAGGGGTGGCTCGACGTTCCGCCCGCCGGTGCGGTTTGCCACAGCCCGCACTTTAGCGAAGAAAACCGGAGCTTTCTCCTCTTGCACGCAGCATTGGGAATGGAAGCAAATGGGCCCATGAGAGACAAACCCACACCAGTCAGCGAGGGGCCAGCAGGCGAAGACAAACTAAGTACAGCAAGCATGCTTGAGAGTTTGAGAAACTGAAAGGAAGCCGATCTCTCTGTGCATGCGTCACAGTTGACCAGTAAAGTCCTTGCAGAAGGCATAGAGCTCCTCCAAGGTGTTCTTGTACCTTACAAGGGAACTGCGCAGACTTTGCAGATTCAGCCTCAGCCAGCCCGGCCAGTTTTACTGAAGCACCCTTGGAGTGATCATTAGAGAGGAGGCTTCCGGGAGGAAGGAGCTCTCTGCGGACGGAGCTGCGGCTGATAATTCATCTTCGTGGAAAAGGAGCGCCGTTTCTGCCAGTCCTTCTCCATCAATTCCACGAGATCCTTCAGCTCGGGGTTGTAGCTGGGAGGCTAGGGAACCTCTTGAGTCATCAGAGCACTGACGTCATGTCAGCTGCCCAATATGCAGGGATTCGGGCCAGAGTGGCACTGGCATATGCTTGTCCGGGAGGCTGCGGGTGTTTCGGGATGCATGGCATGGCCTTGTTGGGCTCGTACTTCTCCTTGAGCTCCCCGCTGAAGGCCTGGAGCCGGTCTGGAAGCGCGGCGACGCTCTGAGAAAGGTTTAGGGTTTGGGGCTTGGGCTTGGAGAGCGGACACAAAGTCTATGAAGGCGCAGCGCCCAGCTGTCCAGCTACCACCCACCCAGTCCGAACCCTCACTACAGCACCCTCTGCCTTTCAATGTACATCAGCGGCGGCCATAGTGATGCTGCGGGTGCTAAAGCCCCTTTTGCGCAAGACAGACTCCCCTACGGGCTCCACCGAGCAATCCTACCCCGTCCTTGTAGTTGTGCAGTCGCATCGCCCCACCGGATAGCTCCTAAGACTTGCAACGGGATGGTCGGAGGCAAGGTGCACACGAGGATTCCAAGCCCATAGGGTGTCGGTTCGCTTCGCCATGCATAATCCCGCAAACGGTGAGAACCCGGTTAGGCGAGTCCCAGGTGCCCTCGACTAGGTCAATAGGGTTCTTGCCTGAGTAAGATCCCTGTTCTACTACAAAGAGACACACGGGCGTATAGCCCCCTACAAACCACATGGATGTGCGAGTGTGTTCGCGCTGGATCTGGCCAAGGCACCAGCGCCGAGTCGTAGTTCGTGGGCATCGTAGCCGGGTCGACTTCTTCTTCTTCGTCGTCCTCCCTGCAAGCGTGGGCGCAGGAATTCTCGAAGACATCGGGTAGATGAGGCTCATGAGAACCTCCATTAAAACGCCGCCCCGGGCCTTTTCGGCTTCGTTGGCTCCTGGGCTTCTTCCGGCTGCACCTGCTGCTCCAGCCGCGACAAGCGGCGCTCCAGCTGGGCCATCCCTTCGCCTTCCGTGAGCTTTACTGCGAAGGCTCGTCCAAAGTTGCTACACATAGAGTTGCTGGAGTGGCTCTGTACGCTACAACTATTGATTAGGGGCAACCTGGTCTTGCTGATGTTGGGGAACAACTTAGAGGATTGAAATGTCATGGCTCGGGTAGCTCCACATAGAAATACATGGCTTCACAAAAAGGTTATGACCCGAAGTAAATACTTCGGTTTTGGAAATAGCCCCGTTCGTAATTACCGTGGTATCCTACACTTAGCATACTTTCTAACTTCTGCGATGCTCCACGGAGGGCCTTCGTGCTGTGCGGAACCTCCAACCGACCGTCATGGCAAATCTGCTACAAGCCGAAGGATAGCCGGGCAAGAACCCACTTCCGATTCCACAAGTTCCTTGCCGGAACTTCTAAGGCGTCAGTGCCCGCCTCCTTCGGGCTTTGCGGCTGCGGTGCCGGCGCCTGACTTGAGCCTCTGGAGCTCCGCGGAGAGCACAGCGAGGGCGGCCCCCATCTTGCAGAGCAGCGCCGTGGTCTTAGTCAGCGAAGGAAAGCTCCCCTTCCGAAACCAGGGCCAAAGGCCAACGTGAACCGAACAGACTGACAGTGTGCAGCCCGGCTGCGTGGCCGTTGATGGCCAGGAGCCACTCCCGCCTCTCCTCGTCCGTTGGCGCCGCCAGGCGCAGGTGCGTCAACGCCGGCTCCGCCTGCACGAAGTTGGAGACTTCGAAGGCATAGCCCTCGGACTCCGGCGGGAGCTTCTCGTGCTCGATCTTGGCGGAGCCGGTCGCTCCCAGCATCAGCCGGGCTTGGCGCTCGCCAGATGCGCCGCTGAAGGTCTCGAGGATGCCGGGGCCGAGGAGAACGAGCACCTTCTCCCAGGTGTCCGTGCGGGGCTGGTACTGCAACAGCTGGCCGCGCTTGAAGGGATCTTGCATCTGCGGCAGGCCCGTCATTGCGAAAGGCAAGTCGAAGTCCTGACGGGAACAAATTGAGACCCTAACCGATCCACTGGAAGATCTTGGGCTCACGTGTCACAACATGACACCCTGGCACCAAGTAATCACGAGCTTTCCCTCGTCGGTCCTGCATGCGGGTGCCGCCGCAGTCCTGCAGAGGCTCCCAAGCTCCAGTATACTTCCAAGACCCACCCCGAAAAGAATGCCAGAAGAAGCAACGCAGGCACTGCAAGAGAAAAAGAAGACCGTGGCTTCTGCTGTGGTGGACCCCAAAACTCGCCTCGGCCCTTGCGCCACCGCGGGAATCCAACGGGTCCTGCGCCGTAGTTTCCAAGGGGGGCTTGCGATGGTTTTAGCTCCAAGGCCCTGCTATGCTTTGGAGGCTGGGAGATGGTCCCGAAAGCGGCCCGGGCCCCTCGTCCCTGTGAGAAGATGTGACCCCCTATACTTGGAGGGCCCAGTGACTTCCGTAGTAAGTTCTTATGATTTTTTTAACCTTCCAGATAATTATCCCTAAACCCTAAAGCCAATTATGGGACCGCTCCCCGACCCTCCAAGCCTAAGCGCCTAAGCCCCTAAGCCCCCCCAGAGCCCGGAGCCCAGAGCCCCGCCTCGGCGCCGCGTGAAGAGGCGGAGAGCTCGCCTTCCAGGGCCGAGAGCTCCTGCAGGCGCCAGGAGAGGCCGAAACTTCGAGCCGAGGACACGCCGAAAGCTGCGAAAGCGCCGAAGCGTCGCAAACGCCTCCGAAACCTCTGTCGAAGGGAGCCTCTGGACCCCGGAAGCGAAAGAATTCAGAAGAAGAACGAAGATGCTGAAAGATAAACAGACTGAACAAACCCCCCCCCCCCATGACCACCCCGCCACACAAATAGGTCTCGCGAAGTCTCCGAAAGGCGGCTCCTGCTTCAGGGCTTCGTTGCGGCGGCGCAAGGACATCTGCGGGGGGTGGTGCGGGGCACGCTGGCGGAGCCAGCGGACGATGAAGCCTTCCGGATCCTCGCGGAGCGGAAGAGAGCTGACACAGCTCTGCTGGGAGTCCGCGAACTGTGGAAAACGGCCAGAAAGATCTAGAATCTTGCCCAACTACGCTTCCACTTCCGCGTCTTGCACGGCAGGAAGGCACTTCGGGGCAACGGGGCGACGGTGGGTAAGGGGCATCAGGTAGCTGGCCTGTGCTTAACTCTAGGAGACTCCGTGGCAAGAGTTACTCGCAATGTGCGGGGCAGGTCGATGGGAAAAGTTTCAACCCGCCTCAGGCGTGATCGGCAACATGTCCACTGCGAGGTCCGTCGTCAAGGGCTGTATCACCGCCTTCAGGTAGGACTCGATGGACTCCGACGTCATAGCCATGGCTGCGAAGACTCGAAGGCGAGAGGCGGAGATGCGGAGAGGCGCGGGAGGCGGAAGTGCCGGGGAAGCTCTCGAGCAAGACAGCATACGGGCACAGAGCCGCCCCTCGCCTCCAATCGAAGCACTCACGCAATCTCACGCAGGAGTCCAAGTCAGAGCGACCTTTGCAGAGCTTTTTCAAGGAGAATGCGGCACTCGATTTCCTGTGGTCGGTGCTTCGGACCGAGGCTTCAGCTGGCGATGCGCGACAGTTGTAATATGCACTGCAGCCGGGCGCAGGAAGCGTCGGAGGCTCCTAACTTCGCTCCGACCCGGATCCGAGAAACCGGCCCACACCATACCACAAAAAATCCGGTGGAGCCGAAGTTCGATCCCAGTGAAGGCTCACATTATAGACTCAAGCTCCCACTCGCGCGAGCGCCTCCTATGAGGCTTCAGCTGTTACCAAGCTGTAGTGGATGCCCGAGGCAGACATCGGAAACACTTGTTACTGCGATATTACTACTACGACTGCGACTACTACCACTGCTGCTACCACTGCTACCACTGACGCCACTGCTACCACTACCACTACCACCACTGCCAGTACCAGTACCGCCACCCCTGAAAGAGGTTGCAGCCTGCATCTCCTCAGCTCGGCCCAGCTCCGCTATCTCCACTTTGCTGGGCTAGAGGCTCTCTTTGAAAGAGCCTGCTCTTGGACCTTCGGGTTGCTGCGCTCTTGGACTGCGGCTCAAAGACGCCAGCTTCGCAAGCTGTGGCTTCCACCTGAATGCACAAGCGCAGTGAAACTCAGCGGACCTGCAAACCTGAAAGAAGGACCTCGGCTCTTTGAGGTTTTGGCTCTTTTTGGCTCTTTGTGAGGTCTTCCTCTTCCTCTTCCTCTTGCCTTATGCAAGGCCCGGTGCACACAAACGAAACTGAAAGAAGGAACCTCGGCCTTTTCAAGCCCCCAAACCCACCCCCTGCCCTCTTTCTGATGAAGGTCTTCCCCCCTCTCTTTGGATCCTCTTCTCCACCACCCCTCCCGGACCCTCAACCTGAGTTTCGGAGGCCTTACTTGGACGAGGGGCCCTGATGCAAGACCTATGGGAGACTTCGGGCCCGAAAGTGTCCTTGACCGGTGCTCTGTCACATCATCCCGAGACTTTAGCGTAAGTTTCGTCTGGGCCGCGGGTTCAAGAGTCCACACCTACAGCTTGCGCCAAACTCGCAGCAACTCCCCGGATGGCCTTGTAGCTTCGTGGAGGCCGGGGAAGAACACGCGGCAGCGGGGCGCTCAGAGGCAAAAAGGTCTAGAGCAACGAATCAGACCTCTGCTTAGATGGAGGCTTAGATGACTAAGTCAGTGGCCTCCAACTTTGCACAAGGGAGGCCCGAAGCAAACAAAAAGAAGCCTCAGCAAAGATCCCGATCCCTCCCAAACCGGACTTGCGCAACGAAGGCCGAATGAAGCCCTGGCAATAAGGCCCCCCAAAGCCCTCAGAGCATCTCCGAGCCCTTGAGGCCTTGGGCCCCAGCTTTCGCCGGCTCCTCGTGGATGTTGCGGAAGGACGCCGGTGCTTCATTGAAGCAGCAGAGGCAGCTGAGAGGCGCAAGACAAAGGCCCAGAGCTGCTAACCAGACCTCGGCTAGGACGGAGGCTGCGAGAATCAACGAGGCTTCCGACGCGTCCCTCCCCGGCGGTCTCGGACTCATGGCGATGCTTCAGCGCAGAAGTATAGATTCGAAAGGGAGGACTGCGACATCCGAGCCCGCTCGAGACCCTGAATGCACAGACTCTGAACTGAGGCAAATGGCAACCCCAACTCGACGCAAGGGAGGCCCCAAGGTCTCGAGCCGCACCTCCCCCCAGAGCCCTCAGCGTCACAGCGTCTCCGAGCGGCTTTTGTGTCAGAGCTTGGGGATCGCGCGCTTCAAGCGTTCGGAGATGGTCGGGCACAACCTGAAGCCATCAAGGAGACAGAAAGTGCTCTTCCCGTCAAACCCCCTCTCCTCAACCCAGAGAAGACTGAGGGATTAAGCCGACAGCGAAGTTGGTGATGGACACCCTAAACGTCCATTCGAAATGGAGCGGTGTTGCAGAGCTCCTCTTGAACTATCACAAGCCCAGGAGCATCTCATCCATCCTCTGGGACATGCGCCGATGCTCGTGCGAAGAGCCTTGCGTGCTGAGCCGTCATTCAGAAACACTGGCCGTCGCTGAAAGGAGCGTTTCCATCAGCTTCAGAAGCGGATGACAACGACAGGATTTGCGAAACCCTACCATTCGAAACCACAACTGCCGGGATCGGCGTCGAACAACCTTACGAAGCCGACTCTAGAGTGTGGATTCCAAGTGGCCCCCCACGCTGCAGCGCACGCGCGCCAGTAGCCGAGACGAGAGCTGCTGGGGCCGCCTCGTTGCAAGCGGAGTTTGGTTGAGGCAGCCCCCTGCTTGGGGAGGTGTACGTCTGTAGAGGATTCAAAGGGCTTGGCTACTTGAGTCGTTTGTTGGGGTTTCCATCAATGCTCAGGGAGGTTACAGCAGGGAACAGATTGCGGAGGATCCAAGAGAGAGGCGGCGGAAGATCCGGGACTTTAGGAGCATCCGGAGCGCTACGTAGACATGCGACGAGCAAGGGCTCAGCACAAGGCGCTGGCGGTGCTTGCGGATACAGGCTATGCTTCGCAGAGTGTTGTACTAAGTTCAGAGTCTCTGTGCTCCTACAAGACTCTTGCATAACCAACAGATCGACAAGCCCTGGCACATGCCGGGAGCTGCAACAACCCCGCAAAGGATAGAAGGAGCTTACTGCCATAGTGCACAAACTTCTCTAGGCAGCCTGATGTCCGCAGCATGTTCCGTAACAACCCCGCAAAGGCTAGAAGGAAGTGCACAAACTTCTCTAGGCAGCCTGATGTCCGCAGCATGTTCCGTAACAACCCCGCAAAGGCTAGAAGGAAGTGCACAAACTTCTCTAGGCAGCCTGATGTCCGCAGCATGTTCCGTAACAACCCCGCAAAGGCTAGAAGGAAGTGCACAAACTTCTCTAGGCAGCCTGATGTCCGCAGCATGTTCCGTCAAGAAGCATCATGCGGAGACCCATGGTAGCCAGGGCTGGCTGTAGCCGAGAAAGATGGAGATAAAATTGATGAAATGCGAAAACCTTGTGGTGTTAATGAAGCATACACACTTCAGCTGTGGTTCCGTTGCTGAACCTCCAGCCGGCACAGCTGCAAAGTTCAGATTCAGTGAATGCAGCACATGCTGACCACAATAAGAATCCGTGAGCTCTTTGTCAAACCTGCCTCATGTCAGCCACACTGTTGTCACTGAAGGTGCACGGCACAGCTCGCGTTGTGCATTGGCGAAGGTCCTTCCACCGCAGCTGCAGAACCGGCTGTTTGTGAGAGCGTGCGGAGCTCGTTGAACCAAATGACTGTCATCCTGCAGCGAGATGTCGGCAGCCTTTCTTGGGTCTTGCAAGTCACTTGCAGGGAGCTTCGATGACAAAAGGAGCAGCCAGGCCTCTCACCATTACGTTTGGAGTGAGCGCATGAGATTCACCCCAAAAACTTGAGGGTCGCTATTTCGCCGGGTCTATCTAGTTCAGACGGAGGAGCCGTCTGGCGCTGGCTGCGTCCTTTTGAAGCAGATATGCAAGAGCTATGGAATCTGATGCGACAGTCGCGGCTGATACTGAGATGGAGCTCTTTGGCACACGGCATTTTGTCGTGAGATGTCAGGCAGCATCAAGTTGGACTTGCAAGTAGCCTGGATGAATTAAGCGAATATTCGGACGCCTCACGACTACGGATTGCACCGACGAAGATTTTGCAATCTGCTAGTTCGTTCAGGAGGCTCTGAGGTTCCGAGTTACTGCCAACTCTTCTACACTTGCATCTGCAACTCCAATCTCCTCCTGCCTCAACAGCTAAGCAGAGGCCCGAAAATATGTCAGGGTTGTGGGATCTCGTCGGATGCGATCAGTCGCGACTGATACTATAGAGACGGAGCTCGTTGGCCCACGGATGCACGCGAGAGTTTGCCGTGAGATGTCGGCAGCCTCAACTTCCGCCATGGGTCTTAGAGAGATAACTTGCAAGCAGCCTCGTCGAGTTAAGCAACAAGAAAGCTCGAACTTCTCACGACGATGTCGGGAATCGAGAGCATGAGACTCCAGGCTTAGAAAATCCACACTCTTCCCTCGCCCAGTGCTCACAGGCTCAGGCATTTCTTAGACCCCTAGGCTTTCGAGCTTCAGAGAACATAAACAGCAGCTCCCAGAGTCGGTCATGAGCTCCTGCTACGCGCTGCCTCCCTTTGGAAGCAGATATTTGTTCAACATTTGCAATCGCTATGTATCTATGGGATCTGATCTTGCGTAGGCAATGGTGGCCCGGGACACGGCATTGCGCGTCTCACACGATGAAGGGGAAGTGAAACATAGATATGGACTCACGGATAGAGCCTGCATTTTTGTGGGCGGGACTTGGTTTAGCTTCGAGTGAGGAGCTTGAGGAATCTTGTCCTATGGAAATCTCCAGAATTTAAGCTAAGGCGCGCATCATACCTGACGTGGTGGTTCCTGGGATTCCTTGCCATCCAACCTCCAACTCCCAGAATGCTTCACCAGGCCGGAGCCCCCCCCCACTTTTCAAACGAAGCTCGAGAAGACGCCGACACGTCTCCGTAGAGATGTGACGGAAACCTCGTTGTACACGACCGTCTGCTCCCTTGAACCTGTAACTGTGACACCGATCCCTTGCCGCGAGCTCACCGCAACTGAAGGCCTTTCACCAAAGACATCCAAAGACCGAAAAGACACCGAAAAATCCCATGTGCCTCCGCCCTCCCGTCGCAGCGGCGGCTCAGGGCTCAGGGCCTTGCCTTGCCAAGACCCAAAAACTTCGGAAGCTGCGAGGGGGAGCGCCGGGGGGGGGGATCGGGTCGCAGCTCACCCTCCAGGCCTGCAGCTGCCAGAGCTTCAGGGTCTTGTCCGTGCTGCCGCTGCACAGCACGTGCTCTCCCCTCACCTTCGCCATCACAAGGGCTCCGATCTCTTTGCCGTGGGCACCCTTGACATCGTGCAGCGGCTCGCCGCTCTGCACCGACCAGACGCGGAGTCGGCCGTTTATATCGGCAGCTGCGAGGTGGTTGGGCGCCAGGAGGCACAGCGAGGAGACATAGCCCGTGAGCCCTTCGATAACCCGCACGATGGTCCAGGTGCTGAGGCTCCAGAGCCGCACCGTTTCGTCGTCGCTGCCACTTGCCAGGAGCTCGGGCGAGGCTTGGCAGAGGCAGTTGACCTCACTTGTGTGGCCGCGCAGCTCCTGCTGCTCCTCGCCGGTCTCAGGGCTCCACACTCGGAGAGTCTTGTCATCGCTCCCGCTCACGAGGCTGCCGGCGGTCGTGAGGCAGAGGCAGCGCACATAGTCGGTGTGGCCCTGGAGCACTCGGCACTCTTTCGGCTCCGCGAGGCTCCACAGGCGGACGGTCTTGTCATCGCTGGCGCTCGCAAGCTGAGTGTCATTGAGCCGCGCCAGGCCCCGCACATAGTCTGTGTGTCCGCTGAAGACTTGCAGCGCTTCCTTGCTGCGCAGATTCCAGGTGCGCACCGTCTTGTCTTCGGACCCACTGGCCAGGACATCTTCAGACATTAGGCACAGGCAGAGCACACCATTCTTGTGCCCCGCCAGCTTTGCGGTAGACTCATCGGTCATGCCGAGGTCGTGGAGGAGGATAGTGCCGTCCTGGCAGCCCACCGCCAGCCTGCCCGCTCCTGTATCGCAGGCGCAGAGCACCTCCGAGTCATGCGGGACGCTGCGCAGCTCCGTGGGATCCTTCGAGAAGCCGCGCACGCCCCACGCCTGCAAGAAGACAAAAGTGCGCATGCTCTGGCTTGGCTTTCGCAACCGGGGCTTGGGGCTCTTGCAAACTACACAGCACAGTACTTTTCAGTAGGAACGGCCGCTCAGTGCGCCACAAGGTCTTGTGCGCAGCGTTCTCGCCGGGCTGTTTCCACCCCTGCGCTCTGAACCTCCGTTGAGGTCCTCTTTCCGTTGTTGGGGAAATCCCGTCTCTCAAGCCTCGCATGCGTCGATGGGACGCATGGCTCCACTTCGAGGGTCAACGCTGGGTTCGAAGAGGCGTATTTAACTCCACAGCACAGCTGTGGTACTCTTTCCGGGCAAAACCCTGCTCTTGTCGTGCTGCATATCGCTGCATCTCTGTGCGAAAGATACGCTGCGGGGTTGCTACAAGGCTACAAAGTGCTAGCTGCTCGCTTATGTTTGATCCGATTTGGACTCCTCCCCAGGAGCCGCAATGCCGCCCAACCTTAACCTCAAACAGTCTGGCTACAGCGAAGGGCGGCCTTACAACAGAAGCATCAACTCTACCATCTTGAACGGCGTGGGACTGCGATGTAAATGATTCCGCATGACCTGCCTGAAGATAGTAACGTGTTGCACTCATAGCTCTTGGTCTTGCCCGCACGTGTCTGAGCCGGTTCGTCGTAGTAGGTTGTCAGCCGTTTGCAAAGTGTTCACTTAAAGACAAGAACGATCGACTGGAAATGAAAGCCCAGCAAAACTTGCAACAAAGAAGATCTTCAAACAACGTCAGCATGAGCTTGGAATAAGGATCCATTCGCCGTTGGAAGTCACCTGAAACATCCCTGCTACCAGCAGGGTACACCGGGACAGCCGTCGCCTTCGAAACAAGCTCTCGCAAGTCGAACGACGATTTCCGCGCGGTTATCTGCAACATGGTGCAACACAGCTTCGCCAAAATATAATGTTTCTGAGACCGATGTCGCGCCGTTTAAACTTTTCTGGGTCTCACCCGGAGTCCTTGCAAAGCATGCGAACATGTCCCGTCCCCGTCCGAGGCCTAAGTCTTCCGTCTTCGTCTTCAAACGATACGAACTCCGAAAGGAGCGAACCTGGTCACCTGGTCTCTATGTTGGGCTCGTCTGCAGACGGCAAAGCAAAATTGAAATGAGCATCAGTTCAGCCAACGTCCCCCTGCCCCAGGGCCTGCAGCTGCCAGAGCTTCAGGGTCGAGTCAATGCTGCCGCTGCACAGCACGTGCTCTCCCCGCACCTTCGCCATCGCCAGGGCTCGGATCTCTTTGCCGTGGGCTTGCTTGATGTGGTGCAGCGGCTCCCCGCTCTGCACCGACCAGATGCGGAGTCTGCCACCCTCATGGGCAGCTGCGAGGTGGTTGGGTGCCAGGAGGCACAGCGAGAAGACAAAGCCCGTGAGGCCTTCGAGGACCCGCACTGCTGCCCAGGTGCTGAGGCTCCAGAGCCGCACCGTGCTGTCGCCGCTGCCACTCGCCAGCAGCTCCGGCGAGGCCTCGCAGAGGCACTTGACACTGCTTGTGTGGCCACGCAGCACGTGCTGCTCCTCGCCCGTGGCTGGGCTCCACTCTCGGAGGGTCTTGTCGTCACTCCCGCTCACGAGGCTGCCAATCGTCGTGAGGCAGAGGCACATCACCCAGTCGGTGTGGCCCTGGAGCACTCGGCACTCTTTCGGCTCCGCGAGGCTCCACAAGCGGACGGTCTTGTCATCGCTGGCGCTCGCGAGCTGAGTGTCACTGAGCCGTGCCAGGCCCCGCACAGCGTCCGTGTGTCCGCTGAGGACTTGCAGCGCTTCCTTGCTGTGCAGGTTCCAGGTGCGCACCGTGCTGTCCGCGGACCCACTGGCCAGGACGTCTTGAGACATCAGGCACAGGCTGCACACAGCCTTCTCGTGTCCCGCCAGCTTTGCAGTAGACTCATCGTTCATGCCGAGGTCGTGGAGGAGGATAGTGCCGTCCTCGCAGCCCACCGCCAGCCCGCTCGGTCCAGCGGCGCAGGCGCAGAGCACCGCCGAGTCATGCGGGACACTGCGCAGCTCCGCCATCCGGGAGAAGTCCACGTCCCGAGTGCCCAATCTGGCCAGAGCCTCGGAAGCCGTCATAGTCACATTGCAAACTGAACATTCGGACTCTGTTCCCAGTGCGTCGGCAAAGTTTGACCTGAGTCCCAAAAGCCTCCTTCCCCCCCTCCGCTGCGTCGCGCCTGCGTGGCTTGGAAGGCCAACGCCACGTCGTTTTGGAGCTGGGCATCGACCAGGTCCAGCGCCCAAGGTGCCTGTCGAGCGACCTGCCATAAAGAAACACTGGCAGCTGTGAACTCAAGCGCTCGAAACCTCCAGACCCCGGCATCTCTGCCAGCCGCCGATCGCGGCTTCGGATCTCACAAGGCTGAGGCCCAGACCTCCAGGGCCAGCTCCCGGTCGCTGCGCAGCGCGGGGCCAGCGAACTCCAGCACCTCGGGCTTCCAGAAATGGGCTGAGCAGTGTGCATATGTGTGCAAGACTCCATGTCAAGAGCCGAACTACAAAGCCTATAGGCACTGCCTCTCGACATGGCCCACAACATACCTCAAGCCGTGTGGCCTCAATATCCTTTCTCCAAAGCCTGCGAAACCCACAGCAAAGAGACCTCCGCTCAAAGACACTTCAATCTCAAGCTGCTCCTGCGGAACACTCGCCTCACCCTCTCACGATTTTTCCCAAGCACGGCCGGTTGGAGCCGCATTGCGTCCGCGACGAAGTCACGGTCCTCGCGAGCTTAGTGGGCTCAGGTGCCAGAAACCTGCTGGGATGATGCCACAATGTAATTTATTCGGGTCGGATTTTGCAAGAGTTCGAGTGGGGTGCTCTCGAGCTTCGGTGCAGATTCTTAGGTTTCAAGGAGACAGGCTCGGTTTTCAGATCGCTTCCCACACTGCGTCCTCCCGAAAGCCTCCAGCGAACTCGAGGGCTCGGGGATGCCGCTGCACTGCATCCAGCAGGAAGGATCGCTCCGCTCGCAGGGCCTGCACCAGGCTTTGCACAGGAGAAGCCCTCAGCCCTTCTGAAAGCCCGCCCAAACTGCGATGCCCTAGAAACGAAGCACCGAAGCACAGCACTTTCGGCCGCCTCGGGCGCATCCTGCAAGCAGGCGGCATCGTGGCTGATGCAGGCCAGGACCACGTCGCGGTCGTTCCAAAGATCCGCTGGGGCCTGGCGCTTGGGCAGCGGAGAACAAAGAAGGTTGAAGGACTCTCTTACGGCTGAGGAATCACGAACTGCCCTCCCCGGCCTTTTGCAGGGCCTCTCTCACGGCATCGAAAGGTGGCATCGGAAGTGTGGGTGTGAGGAAGTCAGTCTCTTCTCGAAGCTTCTTTCCAAGATCCTGGGACCCCAAGCCCTTGAGCACCACCTGCTGGAGGAATTCCTCCGGGGTCTCCAGCCCTGCTCGCCTGCATAAGGCCTTGACCTGACCAGGGGTGGCCCCCAGCTCCAACATCTCCCCCACAGACACCAGGGACCAGTCCAGCATCTGCACCCGCTCCTCCTCCACAGCCGCCAGCAGCGACCAGACCGAGGGCTCTTCGCTTCGCAGGGCCTCTGAATCGAGCACCTTGCTGAGCAGCCTACCATCGTGCCGGAGCCCGGCGGTGGCTAGCATCTTCAGTGCTTTGCCACTTTTCGAGTGGAGTGCGCTGTGGAGCAACGTGAAGGTGCGAGGGGTTTCTCCAGCTGGCATTGCCGTGGTAAGGCCAAGGTCGGCATCCATGTCGACCAGAGCCCTCAGGATCTCGAAGTGCACTGGCTGGAGGCCTTGCGGTCGCAGCAGCACCGCGTGCAGCGGGGGGTGACCGTCTTTCGCACTGCTGGGGGTGTTGGGGTCGGCCCACTCTGCCAGCAACTGCTTCACCTTGGCAAGATTCCCATCGGCGCCTCGGCATAGAAGGAAAAGGCTTAAAGGGGAAAATGCGCAGACTCGAGCACATCAGATCTCACAACCCTCTCTCGAAAGTCGAAGGATTCGGACGAGCTGACGAGCTCGAACTGAAAGAGGAAGGCTTTGCTGCTGCAAAAAAAGCACTTGGCCGGGCGAGCTTCGGCAAAGCTAATTCATGAGGGGGCAGCCCCCCTCAAAAAGGAGCCGTTTGCGCTGCTCCTCTGTCACTTACATCACTTCTTTCTCTAACACCTGCTGTTCTTGCCGCCCCTTTGTGGCTAAAGTTTCCACAACGACTGTCGGAGGGGGCTTCAAAGACCTGCCTCGAGGAATGTTTGTCAGCGAAGAGGCAACACTCAAGTGCGGCACAACCCCTTCTTCAAAAAGTCTTAGGTGTCTTCGTTCGATATGCCGTGTAGTGATGACATGCTCGTGCCCCCTATTCAACGAGGGGCATGCCGGAAGGAGACAAAGCAGCGACAGCAGCGAGAGAAAGAGACAGATAGAGACAGAGAGCCAGAGAGGCCGCGCACGAGCACTCTCCGTTAAGGCCGGCGCAGGATGCAATCAGTTCCTGGCTTTGGACCAGCCGGCGCTTCACGGCAGCACCCAGGTCATCCTTCGCCTTGCGCAGCCTCACACGTCTGAGATTCACTGAGTCAACTTCAGGATTCCAGCCGCCCCAAAAGCGGTGTCAAGTTTCGATACTGCTTTTCGTAGCAATTCAGCTCAGTCGCTGGTCCAGACCACCGTCTGCACACTGGACGGCCACGGAGACGAGGCGCGCGACGCCTCCATGGAGGATGCTACCATGATTATACCCTTCTATCCACTTCTTACAGAAGGCAAGCAAATACCAGCAGCAGCAGCAGCAGCAAAAGCATTACAACTCACCTGCATGCGGCCTTCGTCGCCTCCCGATTGCCGAAGCTTCAGCAGGCCATCCAGGAGGGGCACCTCAAGCAGACACATCCGTACATGCCGAAGCAGCTCTTCTCCCCCTGGTTCTGAGCCCCTGATGCATGTCCCACCCTCCCTGCCTGGCCGTCCTGATCTCGAGCTTGGAGGTCGGCACGAGCACAGAGAAGGGCCCACATCGCCCGCTCGTGGCCCTGCGCCATGGCTTCGTGCAGCGGCGTCCGCATCATCTTGGGATCCGTGTGGTTCACATCCGCGCGGAAGGCCAGGAAGATGCTCACGAGCTGTGCATTGCCCGCCTTGGCAGCCTCCAAAACGGCACACGTCGAAGGTTCAGGCGAGGGGAGGCCCGACAAAGCGTATAGACTCACCCCCCTTGCAAGACTACCCAGCTTCGGAGGATTCACAGTTTAGAGCAGCGCAGTCCTGGTGGAGCAGGCCCTTCTTGTCGTCATTCAGCATCTCCTGGCTTTGGGAGCTTCGGGAGCTTCCGCCAGTCTCGGGTGGGTTGGAGGATGGGGCTGTCTCAGCTATGCGGAATGGCTCCGGTCGAAGAAGTCTGAGGCCTGCGACACTCCCGACTCGACTGGGCGTAAGAAAGCTGCACGATCCTGCAGTTCGGCGTCGGCATTGGCACCGAGGTTCTCCTGGCAGACTCGCAGAAGGCGCGGCTGTTGCACGATGTGCGATTTGGGGGGGAGAGGTGCTGGGACAAGAGGGCTTCGAGCTTCGCAGCCGGGTCCGGGAAACCGCCAATTCAATGCCTCAACGCCCCGTCCTTCCCCCACTGCAGGATGTTGCGGCACCTCTCCACGGCATCCGGCTCCGCAACAGCTGCCATGACCTTCTCTGAGACTGAGATGCGGCAGGCTTCTTCTCTCTAATTTTGCTTCACAATCTAGCTGGTAGCTGGCAGCAGCGTTCCGGAGAAGGCTTGAACTTGGGCAGCTTGCCCCTGTTTGGGCAGCTCTCAACTGCTCGCCTACTTCTTCCGCCCGGAACGCGGCAGGCTCCAGCAGAGTCACTGCCTGCTCGTCCCTTTCCCTTCTGAAAAGCTACAGTACCCGAAAAAACTCGAGCGAAGGAGCCACCAAAAGCAACCGGGTTTCCCCCGATCCTCGCCGAGGCTCCTCGCGGGAGACCTCGAAGGCCCTGTGCCCCGCGTTCTCCTTCACGTGCAGCATCCACTTCGTGTTCAGCCTCGGCACACACGGGGTTCAGTTCCAGTTCGAGACGGCTCAAGAACACTTAGGGTAAGCTTCAGAACGAACCCTTGGCTCTCTTGCGTTCAAGCAGGTTCTGAAGCATGCGCTCTGCGCAGCTCCCAAGGAGTCATACCCCGCATCTTTACGTGCGGAGTTGCTCCAAACGCTCGCTGAGCTGAGAGCTGAACTTCGGAATTTCAAGCCAGAGCACAACAGCAAGAGAATCTGGAGGGCGGCGGTCAATCATACCCAGTTCTACGACAGCCCCGAGAACGCAACCGAGCGCCTTATGGCAAGCGAGAAACTGCAGCTCGCAGACCATCCCGTCGATGCGGAGGCTCAGCTGAAGATCCTGGGATGGGGATTCTTTCGGGCTCCGGGCGCCGGACCGAAGGATGGTTAAGCAGAGGAGGGGCGAAGCTGAGTAGTTCGCCTATTTCTCGGGCTTCCCCCGTCGCACTGCAGCTGTGAAGTGGCACAATGCAAGTCTTCTGCTGTTAACGCCAAGGATCACGATACCCTCCGTCGAGCGGGTTCATATAACGGTCGTTACACTCGATGATGTCGATCTCCTCGTCTTCGTGGATCGCTCGGAGACCTTTGTACCTGGAGAGGCTCCTATTCCCAGCATCTACCTTTACGGCTGCAGGTGTGCATGCTTTCCCTTTTCCAGGGCCCCCACATGTCGTCCAGGTTTTTATATTTGATGGTATCCCTCACGATGTCCGTCAATCTGTGCCACGAGACTTCGCCGTTCTTGTCCTGCAGAGGGAGCATGGTGATCTGGCTGCAGCTGTCTGTCATGCCTGCTTCCAGTCTCTCCCTCTGGGCGTCATTGCTTGCTCTTTTCGGAGAGATGCGCCTCCAAATATCTCTACAGTGGTCAAGACAGAAATAGAAACCGCAAATACAGCAGACCCCCACACCAGAACTTGCTCTCTTCTTTCGGCGTCCTTGTACTTGAACTGTGCTTTGTCTTGGCACCGCTGCATGCCTTTCAGGGGCGGCTCCACGTTCTCTCCGCCCGTGCGTTCTGCCACATCCCGAACTTTGGCGAAGAAGATCGGTGCCTTGTCCTCTTGCACTGCAGGATCGGCAACGGAAGCGAACGAGCACATCCATTCAGCTAGCGGCCCCCCGCCACACAAAGGAAACGACGACTAGCATGCCTTCAGAACCTGAATGAGGCTGAGTGTTCGTATGTGTGGTCCTTGCAGAATGCAAAGAGCTCCTCCAGCGTGTTTTGGTATCTCAGTGGACACGTGGAGTTCATGTACAACACATGAAAGATTGCTTGGACGTCGCAAGGAAACATCAAAAACGTTTCCGGGAGTCAGGAAGGAGCTCTCTGCTGACGGAGCTGCGGCTGGTAATTCATCTTCGTGGAAAACGACCGCCGCTTCTGCCAATCTTTGCCCATCATGTCGACGAGATCCTATAGCACGCCGCAGAACTCTATCAATGCAACATCCTTACACGAATCCACTCAAGTCATGTCAGCTGGCAAAGCTGCACGGATTCATGTCACAGTGACGCTGGCATGCGCTTGACAGCAGCGGTCCATGGCATGGCCTTGTTGGGCTCATATGTCTTCTTCAACTCCTGGCTGAAGGCCTCCAGTCGCAAGTTCTTGGCTCTTGGGGAGAGGCCGGATCGACATGCAAACATCTGAACTCCGCGTCTACAATCGGGCTCGGGGATGCAGGTCGAGAAGTGGGGGAAGCAGCTCAAGATGACTCGGACCGACTGGCTTAAGCTAATACACGATACACATGAGGCAGACTCCGATACACATCCAACCAACGCTATCCTCCAGCAAACCCGCGCCCCGTCCTTGTACTCGCGCAGTCGCGTCTCCCCTCCAGATTCTTCCTGAGTCAAGCAATGGGCTCAAAGCATCCATAGACCAGTCTGGCAAAATGAACCAAATTCAAACGTGGATGCCCTCGACTGTCGCATGCGCCTCATGAAAAACTCGACTCTAGCACTGTATAGTGTCAAGGCGCCAACGCCGAGTCATAGTCCTTGGGCGCCGTCGCCGGATCAACTTCATCGTCCTCCCTGCAAGCATGGACGCAGTTTTGGGAAAGGATCAAATCCCGCTGCTTGGTAGGTATAACGTTCTTGCCCCGGATGCTAGCTCTGTCTCATGGCTATGTTGTCTGCTCTTTTGGCAAGTAGCAATGAATCTCCTGCACCAGGCGGGTGTCGGAAACAAATCCGGACATTCGACAGCAGGCTCCTCCTCCCACGCCGAAAACACCCCAAACCCCCTATGACCCAAAGCTCCCCCAGGACCAGTCCCGGCCTTTTCGGCTTCCTTGGCTCCTGGGCTTCTTCCGGCTGCACCTGCTGCTCGAGCCGCGACAAACGGCGCACCAACTGTGCCATCTCTTCGCCTTCCGCGAGCTTCGCTGCCCAGCTGTCCCAAAGAAGTTGCTACACATATTATGCATATATAATATATTATACTATCATATACTGCAGGTACGGACAGGTACGGACAGCTTCCGTTTCGACAACCTGGTCTTGCTGATGTTGCGACAGTACTTCGAGGATCCATGCACTTGGTACATCGGATACGCGTCAATACGACAAGTGCGCTTTACACACCACAATAACTGCTCTGATCCTCCAAGTAGGCGTCTTCGGGAGAGCAGTGCGAATCATGATGGCTTCCGTATGGAAGCACCCCTCCTCTCTTCAGCAACCCAACCTCCCAAGCCCAAGGGTATCCCCCGGCCTTCGGGCTTTGCCGGTGCGAGGCCGGTGCCAGACTTCAGCCTCTGAAGCTCCGCGTAAAGCGTGGCGATAGTGGCCCCCATCTTGCAGAGCAGCATCGTGGTCTTAGTCGGCGACAAGAAGAGCCCCTCTTTAGAAACCCGATGAGCCAAGATCTTGCTAGAACCGAACAGAACAGACTGATGTGTCTGGGGTGTGTGGTGTCTGGCAATTTGCAGCCGGGGTGCGTGGCCGTTGATGGCCAGGAGCCACTCCCGCCTCTCCTCCTCCGTCGCTGCGGCCAGGCGCAGGTGCATCAACGCCGGCTCCACCTGCACGAAGTTCGACACTTCGAACACGTAGCCCTCAATTTCCGGCGGGAGCTTCTCGTGCTCGGGCTTGGCGGAGCCGGTGGCTCCCAGCATGAGCCGGGCTTGGCGCTTCCCAGTGGTTTCGGCGAAGGTCTCGAGGCTGCCGGGGCCGAGGAGAAGGAGGACCTTCTCCCAGGTGTCCGTGCGGGGCTGGTACTGCCACAGCTGGCCACGCTTGAAGGGCGCTTGCATCTGTGGGAGGCCCAGAAACGCGAAAGGCATGTCCATGTCGTGGTCCTGACGAGTTGCGAAACCTCAAAGCCATCCACTTTCCTACGGCGGACCCTTCCAGAACAGCATCTTCATGCCCGTCGCGTGAAGCTCAACTCTGACTATGTGCAACTGCTTCCTCCTCGGTGCAGTCCGGCCCGGCAGGTTTCTCCTGGCGCTTGCGGAAGGAAAGCGAGGACAGGATCCCATACTCATACCGGGAAGCTTCCGTCGCAACCTCCGAGAACAACACACCCAAAGGATTCAGAACCGCAGGCCTTCGTAATCTTGGAAGCCAGGTCGCCCTGTAGGGCAGACATCTCCTGTAGCGAGTGGAAGAGGTTCGGCGAGACATGTCCCAGTACAGGAAGAACTGACGTGTTGGTGTGTATTTGGCTTTCGGAGTTTAAGGCCGCTTGGCCGCTTTCGTTTCGCCGGAATCCTTGCACGTAACTTGCAAGGAGCCTTTGGCAGAGCAGACCTTTTCCAACAGACACTCCCCAAAGCTGCACCCATCCGATGCTGGCTAGCTCGACCGGCACATCCGTCGACAAAAACGCAACCACAAGAGACCACGGGAAATCGCCCCAGGGCCTCAAACGCCTCGGGCTGTAGACTGCTGGGGAGTTTCAGCCTCGTTTCGGTAAGGCTGCCCGTGGTTAAGTCGGAGGCCGGCCCTCTGCACTCCCCCCTCTACCATTTGCTGGATCTCTGAAGAGGCTTCCACCGAACCCTCTCATCGGCTCCTGCTTCAGTGCCTCGTTGCGACGGCGGAGGGACATCGGCCCTTCGTGGTTCGGGACCCGTTGGCGGAGCCACTGGACGATGAAGTCGGCGGGGGCCTGGCAAAGAATAGGGAGCCTACGACCCAAGCCTGAAAGTCCTCAGCTGCAGTGTTCTTGCCAGAGGAGATGTCTGACAGGTGTTGAATAATAACAGCGCTTCGTCGGGTCGAAGACTGGTACGAAGACTGAAAAGACGCTCTTCTGAACTCGCCTCCGACATGGCGTGGAGTGCATCCCTGGCCATGTCCGCGGTCAAGGGCTGCAGCGTCTCCCCGATGTAGGCCTCCTTGACGGATGCCATGGCAAGGGCTCGAGGGCGGACGCTGGAAGGCAGGGAGGAAGGCGGAGGAAGTCGGCAGGCGAAGCTCGGGCGCGCTCGGAGCCAAAAAAGTGGGCACAGCAGAGCAGTAGCAGCGTCACCTGCACACTTCGAAGTCCGCAGGGTCGGGAAGGCGCAAGCTCTGGAGCGGTCCGTGCAAGTCACTGCGATTTCTCTTTTGGTCGGCCGGGGCTCTCTGAGAAGGTTTAAATCCGAGGAGTCTGAGGCGAGCTCTCTCGCCGGTTTGGGGTTTCGGTCTCAGGTGCTTTTGGCTGCCGGGCTGAAGGCATGTGGAGGGCGGAGTGCTTCCAGTTCAGGGGGAGCCCCTCTGGTTGCAGGGTTTAAAGTGGCTCAAGGGCTCTAGGGGTTGAAGGCTTCAGGGTGGAGGGGTCCAGGGAATCTGGGGTTCAAGTCTTTCAAGTTGGGCCTTCACGGAGGACTGAAGATGGAATGTTGTGGAAGACCCTGAGCTTGAAAGGGAGTCGTTGCCTCATGCATCAAGAGGCACCGACTTCAGATGTCAATAGTACAGCAAGGGCGTTTAAGGCTGCTAGCTTCGCAGCGCCATCGAAAAAGTTGGGAAGCCTCCTTGCTGCTACCTGCTACCTGCTACCTTTCGCCTGGCGAGGTGCAGGGGGCCTGGGGATCTCGGCGGCGCTCCTTTTCGGAGCTTCTCGCTCGGCCAAGGCTCGCTGCAGGCTCAAACCTCATACAGTCCTGCACAGATGTCGAAGAGCAGTGCAACCGCAGCTGCTTGTTTTCTACTCTACCCTTTGAAGATGTAAGTCTGCGACACACAAAAACAGAAAGCGCGGAACCGCACTTTTAGCAGCACCTTATGGCCACTAGCTCTGTACTGGCAGCTGCTGCGCTCGAAGCTACAAGCCTGAAAGCTCTTGAAGAGCTCCGAGAAACCCTAAATCTCAAACAAACCGCATCGCCGAAGCTACATGGCTAACTCGCGGGCCGAAAGGAAGGCTCAGCTCGAAGTCAGACGAGCAATGGGAGCACCGAGAGAGCTCGCATACCCAGACCTCCGGGAGGATCCAAAAAGGTAGATCCCTCAATCGGGCTCCTTTAATGGATTCCTTTCAGGGTTCCTTTCGGTGGGCTCCTAGCACGTACCCTTTACTAGCATAGGGTTCCAAGTAAAGGGCTCTACTCCCCCCCAAACCTGAAAGGAGGACCTGAAATCAAATTGCTAAAAAGTATATATTCCTTAGACTCCTCAGATGTTCCCTCACTTAGGAGACACGGAGACACTGGAAGTTCTGGACTTCGGCCTTTTGAGGCTCGGTTTTTGGGGGATTCCTCTGGTGCTGGGCCTTCCTCTTCCTCTTCCTCTTCTTCTCCGCCCGCCAAGGCGAAGAGGCGTCGGAGAGCTCCTTCACGGCAGCAGCGGGGGGGGGGAGGGCACCAAGGGGAGCTTCGGGGAGGCGAGGCCTCTGTTTTGGGGAGGGAGGGGGGAGGGGGCCGAGGGAGGCCCCGAACGCAAGAGCTCTGGCAGACTGCAGGGCCCGAAAGCATCCTTGTCTTATATGACGCACCCTCCCAAGAAGATACTGCAGGCTTCACTCTTCACTTCGTTTGGGTTCGGGGTCGCTGGTAGCCATAAACCCCAAACCCTCAATCAAACCCCCAACTACTCGTCAATGTGAAAAACTCTGAGGATCGCCTCGCCCTCGCCGGCTCCTCGTGGACGTTGCGGAAGAACGCCGGTGCAGCTGAGAGGCGCAAGACAGAGGCCCGGAGCTGCTAACCAGATCTCGGCTAGCACTGGAGGCTGCGATCATCAAAGGCGCTTTTGACAGGGGCATTTGACCTGTCCCTCCCCGGCGGTCTCGGACTCAAGGCGATGCTTCAGCGCAGAAGTCTAGATTTGAAAGAGAGGACTGCGACATCCGAGCCCGCTCGAGACCCTGAATGCACAGACTCCGAACTGAGGCAAATGGCAACCCCAACTCGACGCAAGCGAGGCTCGAAGGTCTCAAGCCGCACTTTCCCCCAGAGCCCTCAGCGTCACAGCATCTCCGAGCGGCTTTGTGTCAGAGCTTGGGGATCGCGCGCTTCAAGCGTTCGGAGATGGTGGGGCACAACCTGAAGCCATCAAGGAGACAGAAAGTGCTCTTCCCGTCAAACCCCCTCTCCTCAACCCAGAGAAGACTGAGGGATTAAGCCGAAAGCGAAGTTGGTGATTGACACCCTAAACGTCCATTCGAAATGGAGCGGTGTTGCAGAGCTCCTCTTGAACCATCACAAGCCCAGGAGCATCTCATCCATCCTCTGGGACATTCCCCGATGCTCGTGCGAAGAGATGCGAAGAGCCTTCGGTGCTAAGCATCATTTAGAAACACTGTACTACGACAGGTTTTGGCAAAACGAAAATTCTGAACCACAACTGCCGGGATCGGCGTCGAATAACATTACCAAGCCGACGACTCTCCGGCGCCTTCTCTGTGCGGCCCCCGACGAGGCGGGAGCTCCTGAAGCCGGGCCGCCTGTTGCAAGCGAAGTTGGTTTGGGGCAGCCATGGGCAGCTGTAGAGGCTTCAAAGGGCTATAGCTACTTGAGTCGCTTGTTGGGGTTTCCATCAATGCTCAGGGAGGTTACGGCAGGGAACACGTTGCGGAGGATCCAAGAGGGAGGCGGCGGAAGATCCGGGACTTTAGGAGCATGCGGAGCACTACGTAGACATGCGACTAGCAAGGGCTCAGCACAAGGCGCTGGCGGTGCTTGCGGATACAGGCTGTGCTTCGCAGAGTGTTGTACTAAGTTCAGAGTCTCTGTGCTCCTACAAGACTCTTGCATAACCAACAGATCGACAAGCCCTGGCACATGCCGGGAGCTGCAACAACCCCGCAAAGGTTAGAAGGAAGCCAAACTTATCTAGGCAGCCTGATGTCCGCAGCCCGTTCCGTCAAGAAGCGACATGCGGAGACCCATGGTAGCCAGGGCTGGCTGTAGCCCAGAAAGATGGAGATAAGATTGATGAAATGCGAAAACCTTCCTGTGTTAATGACGCATACACACTTCAGCTGTGGTTCCGCTGCTGAACCTCCAGCCGGCACAGCTGCAAAGTTCAGATTCAGTGAATGCAGCACGTGCTGACCACAATAAGAATCCGTGAGCTCTTTGTCAAACCTGCCGACCTCGATGAACCTGCGTGCTCATGTCAGCTACGCTGTTATCACCGAAGGTGCACAGCACAGCTCGCGTTTTGCATTGGCGAAGGTCCTGCCACCGCAGCCGCAGAACCGGCTGTTTGTGACAGCATGCGGAGCTTGTTGAACCATATGATCGTCATCCTGCAGCGAGATGTCGGCAGCCTTTCTTGGGTCTTGCAAGTCACTTGCAGGGAGCTTCGATGACAAAAGGAGCAGCCAGGCCTCTCACCATTACCTTTGGAGTGAGCGCAGGAGACTCACCCCAAAAACTTGAGGGTCGCTATTTCGCCGGGTCTATCAAGTTCAGACGGATGAGCCGTCTGGCCCTGGCTGCGTGCTTTTGAAGCAGATATGCAAGAGCTATGGAATCTGATGCGACAGTCGCGGCTGATACTGAGATGGAGCTCTTTGGCACACGGCATTTTGTCGTGAGATGTCAGGCAGCATCAAGTTGGACTTGCAAGTAGCCTGGATGAATTAAGCGAATATTCGGACGCCTCACGACTACGGATTGCACCCTCGAAGATCTTGCAATCTGCTAGTTCGTTCAGGAGGCTCTGAGGTTCCGAGTTACTGCCAACTCTTCCACAGTTGCATCTGCAACTCCAATCTCCTCCTGCCTCAACAGCTAAGCAGAGGCCCGAAAATATGTCAGGGTTGTGGGATCTCGTCGGATGCGATCAGTCGCGACTGATACTATAGAGACGGAGCTCGTTGGCCCACGGATGCACGCGAGAGTTTGCCGTGAGATGTCGGCAGCCTCAACTTCCGCCATGGGTCTTAGAGAGATAACTTGCAAGCAGCCTCGTCGAGTTAAGCAACAAGAAAGCTCGAACTTCTCACGACGATGTCGGGAATCGAGAGCATGAGACTCCAGGCTTAGAAAATCCACACTCTTCCCTCGCCCAGTGCTCACAGGCTCAGGCATTTCTTAGACCCCTAGGCTTTCGAGCTTCAGAGAACATAAACAGCAGCTCCCAGAGTCGGTCATGAGCTCCTGCTACGCGCTGCCTCCCTTTGGAAGCAGATATTTGTTCAACATTTGCAATCGCTATGTATCTATGGGATCTGATCTTGCGTAGGCAATGGTGGCCCGGGACACGGCATTGCGCGTCTCACACGATGAAGGGGAAGTGAAACATATAGATGATGGATTCACGGATAGAGCCTGCATTTTTGTGGGCGGGACTTGGTTTAGCTTCGAGTGAGGAGCTTGAGGAATCTTGTCCTATGGAAATCTCCAGAATTTAAGCTAAGGCGCGCATCATACCTGACGTGGTGGTTCCTGGGATTCCTTGCCATCCAACCTCCAACTCCCAGAATGCTTCACCAGGCCGGAGCCCCCCCCCAAACTTGTCAAACGAAGCTCGAGAAAGACGCCGACGACGCATCTCCGTAGAGATGTGCCGGAAGCCTCGTTTGTACACGACCGTCTGCTCCCTTGAACCTGTAACTGTGACACCGATCCCCTGCCGCGAGCCCACCGCAACTGAAGGCCTTTCACCAAAGACATCCAAAGACCGGAAAGACACCGAAAAATCCGATGTGCCTCCGCCCTGCCGTCGCAGCGGCGGCTCAGGGCTCAGGGCCTTGCCTTGCCAAGACCCTAAAACTTCGGAAGCTGCGAGGGGGAGCGCCGGGGGGGGGATCGGGTCGCAGCTCACCCTCCAGGCCTGCAGCTGCCAGAGCTTCAGCGTCTTGTCAGTGCTGCCGCTGCACAGCACGTGCTCTCCCCTCACCTTCGCCATCACAAGGGCTCGGATCTCTTTGCCGTGGGCACCCTTGACATCGTGCAGCGGCTCGCCGCTCTGCATTGCCCAGACCCGGAGTCTGCCATCGCCGTCGGCAGCTGCGAGGTGGTTGGGGGCCAGGAGGCACAGCGAGGAGACCCAGCCCGTGAGCCCTTCGAGAACCCGCACGATGGTCCAGGTGCTGAGGCTCCACAACCGCACCGTTTTGTCGTCGCTGCCACTCGCCAGGAGCTCGGGCGAGGCCTGGCAGAGGCAGTTGACACCGCCTGTGTGGCCACGCAGCTCCTGCTGCTCCTCGCCGGTCTCAGGGCTCCACACTCGGAGGGTCATGTCGTCGCTCCCGCTGACCAGGTTGCCACTGGTCGTAAGGCAGACACAGCGCACACAGTCGGTGTGGCCCTGGAGCACTCGGCACTCTTCCGGCTCCGCGAGGCTCCACAGGCGGACGGTCTTGTCAAGACTGGCGCTCGCGAGCTGCGTGTCGCTGAGCCGCGCGAGGCCCCGCACCAAGCCCGTGTGTTCGCTGAGGACTTGCAGCGCTTCCTTGCTGCGCAGGTTCCAGGTGCGCACCGTGCTGTCTCCGGAGCCACTGGCCAGGACATCTTCAGACATCAGGCACAGGCTGCACACAGCCTCCTCGTGTCCCGCCAGCTTTGCGGTAGCCTCATCGGTGGTGCCGAGGTCGTGGAGGAGGATAGTGCCGTCCTCGCAGCCCACCGCCAGCCTGCCCGCTCCTGTGGAGCAGGCGCAGTGCACCCACGAGTCATGCGGGACGCAGTGCACTTCGGTGGGATCCTTCGAGAAGCCGCGCACGCCCCAGGCCTGCAACAAAGACAAACGTGCGCATGCTCTGGCTTGGCTTTCAAAACCGGGGATTGGGGCTCTTGCAAACTACACAGCACCGTACTTTTCAGTAGGAACGGCCGCTCAGTGCGCCACAAGGTCTTGTGCGCAGCGTTCTCGCCGGGCTGTTTCCACCCCCGCGCTCTAAACCTCCGTTGAAATCCTCTTTCGTTGTTGGGGAAATCCCGTCTCAAGCATGGGATGCGTCGATGGGACACTGATGGGACGCATGGCTCGACTTCGAGGGTCGACGCTGGGTTCGAGGACCTAACTCCACAGCACAGCGGTGGTACGCTTTCCGGGCAAAACCCGGCTCTTGTCGTGCTGTACATCGCTGCATCTCTGTGCGAAAGATACGCTGCGGTGTTGCTACAATGCTACAAATTGCTAGCTGCTCGCTTATGCTTCATCCGAGTTGGACTCCTCCCCAAGAACCGCAATACCGCCCAACCTTAACCTCAAACAGTCTGGCTACAGGTTAGGGCGGCTTATGGCGGCCTTACAACAGAAGCATCAACTCTACCATCTTGAACGGCGTGGGACTGCGATGTAAATGATTCCACGCATGACCTGCCTGAAGATATAGTGGCGTGTTGCACTCATAGCTCTTGGTCTTGGCCGCACGTGTCTGAGCCGGTTCGTCGTAGTAGGTTGTCAGCGGTTTGCAAAGTGTTCACTTAAAGACAAGAACGATCGACTGGAAATGAAAGCCCAGCAAAACTTGCAACAAAGAAGATCTTCAAACAACGTCAGCATGAGCTTGGAATAAGGATCCATTCGCCGTTGGAAGTCACCTGAAACATCCCTGCTACCAGCAGGGCCAGCAGGGTACACCGGGACAGCCGTCGCCTTCGAAACAAGCTCTCCGCAAGTCGAACGACGATGACCGCGCGGTTATCTGCGACATGGTGCAACACAGCTTCGCCAAAATTTAATGTTTCTGAGACCGATGTCACGCCGTTTAAACTTTTCTACCCGGAGTCCTTGCAAAGCATGCGAACAGGTGTCCCGTCCCCGTCCGAGGCCTAAGTCGGCCTCAGTCTTTTGTCTTTGCCTTCAATCGATACAAACTCCGAAAGGTGCGAACCTGGTCACCTGGTCTCTATGTCAATGTTGGGCTCGTCTGCAGACGGCAAAGCAAAGTTGAAATGAGCATCAGTTCAGCCAACGTCCCCCTTCCCCAGGGCCTGCAGCTGCCAGAGCTTCAGGGTCGAGTCCTCGCTGCCGCTGCACAGCACGTGCTCTCCCCTCACCTTCGCCATCACAAGGGCTCGGATCTCTTTGCTGTGGGCACCCTTGAGAATGTGCAGCGGCTCGCCGCTCTGCACCGCCCAGACCCGGAGTCGGCCATTGCCATCGGCAGCTGCGAGGTGGTTGGGTGCCAGGAGGCACAGCGAGGAGACAAAGCTTGTGAGGCCTTCCAGGACCCGCACGGTGGTCCAGGTGCTGAGGCTCCAGAACCGCACCGTTTGGTCGGCGCTGCCACTCGCCAGCAGCTCCGGCGAGGCCTGGCAGAGGCAGCGGACATAGTGTGTGTGGCCCCGCAGCTCCTGCTGCTCCTCGCCGGTCTCGGGGTTCCACACTCGGAGGGTCTTGTCGTCGCTCCCGCTGACCAGGTTGCCACTGGTCGTGAGGCAGACACAGCGCACCCAGTCGGTGTGGCCCTGGAGCACTCGGCACGCTTCCGGCTTGGCGAGACTCCACAGGCGCACGGTCTGGTCAGCGCTTGCGCTCGCGAGCTGCGTGTCATTGAGCCGCGCCAGGCCCCGCACAAGGTCCGTGTGTCCGCTGAGGACCTGCAGCGCTTCCTTGCTGTGCAGATTCCAGGTGCGCACCGTGCTGTCCGCGGACCCACTGGCCAGGACATCTTCAGACATCAGGCAAAGGCTGTGCACGGCCTTCTTGTGTCCCGCCAGCTTTGAGGCAGGCTCATCGGTGGTGCCGAGGTCGTGGAGGAGGATAGTGCCGTCCTCGCAGCCCACCGCCAGCCTGCCCGCTCCTGTATCGCAGGCGCAGAGCACCTGCGAGTCATGCGGGACGCTGCGCAGCTCCGCCATCTGGGAGAAGCCTACGTCCCGAGTGCCGCATCGTGCCAAGGCCTCGGAAGCGGTCATAGTCATTGCAAACTGAGCATTCGGACTCTGTTCCCAATGCATCGGCAAAGTTTGACCTGAGTCACTCCCCCCCTCCGCTGCGTCTCGCCTGCGTGGCTTGGAAGGCCAACGCCACGTCGCTTTGGAGCTGGGCATCGACCAGGTCCAGCGCCCAAGGTGCCTGCCGAGCGACCTGCCACAAAGAAACATGTCAACTGCTCGTCACCTCGAGACACCCCGGCATCTCTGCCAGCCGCCGATCGCGGCTTCGGAATCTCACAAGGCTGAGACCCAGACCTCCAAGGCCAACTCCCGGTCGCTGCGCAGTGCGGGGCCAGCGAACTCCAGCACCTCGGCGGGCTTCCAGAAATGGGCTGAGTGGCGGTCCCGCCAGTGTGCATGTGTGCAAGACTCCATGTCAAGAGCCGAACTACAAAGCCTCACGCACGGCCTCTCGACATGGCCCACAACATACCTCAAGCTGTGTATAGCCTCAAGATCCTTTCTCCAAAGCCTGCGAAACCCACAGCAAAGAGCCCTCCGCTCAAAGACGCTTCAATCTCAAGCTGCTCCTGCGGAACACTCGCCTCACCCTCTCACGATTTGTCCCAAGCGCAGCCGGTTGGAGCCGCATTGCATCCGCGACGAAGTCACGATCCTCGCGAGTGATGCTACAAAGCAGGGTCTGTGGCTCTGGGGAGTCCGCTGCAGTGCAGATTTGCAGGCTTCGATGACAAGCATCGTACTTCAGATCGCTTCCTACTCTACGCTGCGTCCTCGCGAAAGCCCGCGGCGAACTCGAGGGCTCGGGGATGCCGCTGCACTGCATCCAGCAGGAAGGATCGCTCCGAGCGCAGGGCCTGCACCAGGCTTTGCAGAAGAGAAGCCCTCAGCCCTTCTCAAAACCCGGCAAAACTGCGATGCCACAAACGCAGAGCAGTTTCGGCATGACGACGATGCCCTCAAAGTACGGGGCTCTCACCTCTGGCGCATCGGCCAAGCAGGCGGCATCGTGGCTGATGCAGGCCAGGACCACGTCGCGGTCGTTCCGAAGATCTGCGGGTGCCTGGCTCTGGGCAGCGGGTTCGTCTAGAAGGTTGAAGGACTCTCTCACGGCTGAGGCATCAAAGCCACCCTCCCTCCGGCCTTCTGCAGGGCCTCTCCCACGGCATCGAAAGGTGGCATCGGAAGTGTGGGAGCCAGGAAGTGGGGGTCTTCCCGGAGTTTCTTGCTCAGTTCCTTGGGCCCGAAGCCCTTCAGCACCACCTGTTGGAGGAATTCTTCCGGGGTCTCCAGGCCTGCTTGGTTGTGCAGTGCCTTGACCTCGCCAGGAGTGGCCCCCAGCTCCAACATCTCCCCCACAGACACCAGGGACCAGTCCAGCAGCTGCACCCGCTGCTCCTCCAAGAACGCCAGCATCGACCAGACCGAGGGCTCTTCGCTTCGCAGGGCCTCTGAATCGAGCCCCTCGCTGAGCGGCTTCCCATCGTGCCGGAGCCCGGCGGCTGCTAGCATCTTCAGTGCTTTGCCACTTTTCGAGTGGAGTGCGCAGTGCAGTAGTGTGAAGGTGCGAGGGGTTTCTCCAGCTGCCATTGCCGTGGTGACGCCAAGGTCGGCATCCAGGTCCAGCAGAGCCCTCAGGATCTCGAAGTGGACTGGCTGGAGGCCTTGCGGTCGAAGCAGCACCGCGTGCAGCGGGGGGTGACCGTCTTTCGCACTGCTGGGGGTGTTGGGGTCGGCCCACTCTGCCAGCAGCTGCTGGACCTTGGGAAGGTTGCCATCGGCGCCTCGGCACAGCAGGAAAAGGCTCAAAGGGGACAATGCGCAGACTCCAGCACGTCAGATCTCACAATCCTCTCGAAAGTCGAAGGATTCGGACGAGCTGACGAGCTCGAACTGAAAGAGGAAGGCTTTGCTGCTGCAAAAAAAGCACTTGGCCGGGCGGGCTTCGGCCCTGGAGCAAACTAAAGCGATTTCAGGAGGGCGGCCACTGCAAAAACGGAGCCGCTTGCGCTGCTCCCCTGTTGCTTACATCGCCTCTTTCTCTAACACCGGCATTTCTTGCGACTACAACGCCACAGCGAGTGTCGGAGGGGGCTTCAAAGACCTGCCTCGAGGAATGTAGGTCAGCGAAGAGGCAACACTCAAGTGCGGCACCACCTCTTCTTCAAAAAGTCTTAGGTGTCTTCGTTCGATATGCCGTGTAGTGGCGCCGATGGCATCGTAGGAAAAGGCTCAAAGGGGACAATGCGCAGACTCCAGCACGTCAGATCTCACAACCCTCTCTCGAATCGAAGGACTCGGACCGGCGGGCTTCGGCCCTGGAGCAAATCCAGGCGATTTCAGGAGGGCGGCAGCCCCCCCTCGAAAAGGAGCCGTTTGCGCTGCTCCTCTGTCGCTCACAAACGCTTACATCGCTTCTTTCTCTAACACCTGCTGTTCTTGCCGCGGCCCCTTCGTGGCTAAAGTTTCCACAACGACTGTCGGAGGGGGCTTCAAAGACCTGCCTCGAGGAATGTCTTTGAGCGAAGAGGCAACACTCAAGTGCGGCACAACCTCTTCTTCAAGAGGTCTTAAGTGTCTTCTTTCGATGCTCTGCGTACTGATGACATGCTCGTGCCCCCAATTCAACGAGGTGCATGCCGGAAGGAGACAAGGCAGCCAGCGAGAGAGAGAGAGAGAGACAGGAGAGAGAGAGAGAGAGAGAGACAGAGAGAGAGAGAGAGACAGAGACAGAGAGAGAGAGACAGAGAGAGAGAGACAGAGAGAGAGAGAGAGAGAGAGACACAGAGGGACACAGAGCCAGAGAGGCCGCACACGAGCACTCTGTGTTGAGGCCGGCACAGGATGCAATCAGTTCCTGGCTTTGGACCAGCCGGCGCTTCACGGCAGCACCCAGATCATCCTTCGCCTCGCGCAGCCTCACACGTCTGAGATTCACTGGGTCAACTTCAGGATTCCGATGTCACCCCAAATTAAGCGGGATCAAGTTTTGACTCTGCTTTTCGTAGCAATTCAGCTCAGTCGCTGGTCCAGACCGCCGTCTGCACACTGGACGGCCACGGAGACGAGGCGCGCGACGCCTCCATCGAGGGTGCTAGCATGGTTACCCTTCTATCCACGACGAATAGCATGTAAGGAGGCGAAGGCAAACAAACAGGCAAGCAAATGCCAACAGCAGCGGCGGTAGCGAACTAATAAGAAAGGGTCCAAAATCAAGAGCATTGCAACTCACGTGCATGGGGCCTTCATCGCCTCCCGACTGGCGAAGCTTCAACAAGCCATCCAGGAGGGGCACCTCAGGTGTGGACATCCGCACATGCCGAAGAGTGTTGATTCTTGTCGTGCCCTCCCCGCCTGGCCGTCCTTATCTCGAGCTTGGAGGTCGGCGCGAGAACAGAGAAGGGCCCACATCGCCCGCTCGTGGCCCTGCGCCATGGCTTCGTGCAGCGGCGTCCGCATCATCTTGGGATCCGTGTGGTTCACGTCCGCACGGAAGGCCAAGAAGATGCTCACGAGGTGCGCGTTGCCCGCCTTCGCCGCCTCGCAAGTCGCATCCAAGGTGGCACACCACGGGGAAAGTAAAGTGGGCCCTCACCCCCTTTAGTGTTTAGAGCAAGAGCAGGGCAGTCCTTGTGAAGGAGACCCTTCTTGTCGTCATTCAGCATCTCCTGGCTTTGGGATCCAGCTTCGGGAGCTTCGTTGGTCGGAGGATGGCGTCCCTTTGAGCGGAATAGCTTGGCTCGGAAAGAAATCTCGATGCCTGCGGCGCTCTCTCTCTCTCTCTCTCTCTCTCTCTCTCTCTCTCTCTCTCTCTCTCTCTTGTTGACACACGGTCAGCACAAAAAACGCATCTGCATGGGAAGCCTGATCGGTGCCGAAAAGCTGTACCTTTTCCTTCGAACCCTCAGCTTGAATCTAGAACCCCCCGCAACTCTCAGAAGTCTCGTCTCGCATGTTTCAGTCGACACCAACCCCCAACTCGACGAGCCAGAAAGAAGCAGGATCCTGGAGTTCGGCGTCGGCGTTGGGGCCCAGGTTCTCCTTTGGAAGGAGCGGCGTTCGCGCGCGATTTGGAAAAGAGAGATGCTGGCGCAAGAGGAGGGCTTCGAGCTTCTCGGAGCTGCGCTGCAAGTTCAAAGTGCCCCTGCCCGAAAACCCCGGTCCTTACCCCACTGCAGGATGTTGTGGCACCTCTCCACAGCATTCGGCTCTGCAACTGCTGCCATGACCTTTTTCGAGATGCAGAGCAGCTGTTCTCTAACTTTGCACTGCAAAAACAACCTGGTAAGAGTAGGTGGCAGAAGCCCGAGATGTGCGACTTTCCCTTTTGGGAGAGCGCTGCTGCCACACTGTCAGAGGGGAGGCTCCGCCAATCTTGCCGAGGCTCCTCGCGGGAGACCTCGAAGGCCCGGTGCCCCGCGTTCTCTTTCACGTGCAACATCCACTTCGTGTTCAGCCTCGGCACACGGCTTTCCTCCAAACGCTCTCGAAGCTGAGAGATGCAATCGGAATTTCAAGCCAGAGCACAACAGCAAGAGAATCTGGAGGGCGACGGTCAATCATACCCCGCAGTTCTACGACAGCCCCGAGAACGCAACCGAGCGCCTTATGGCAGGCGAGAAACTGCAGCTCGCAGACCATCCCGTCGATGCGGAGGCTCAGCTGAAGGTCCTGGGATGGGGTTTCTTTCGGCTCCGCGCGCCGGACGGGTCTCCTTCTTCAACTGCTGACAATGAAAGAAAATCTCCCTAAAACATCCCTACAAGGGCGGAGCGAAGTTGAGTAGGCTTGCTGTCTCTCAGGATGCCCCGCACGCTTCAGCTGTGAAGTGGGACAGTGCAGGTCGTCTGCCTTCTTCCAGTTAAGCCAAGCATCACGATACCCTCCGTCGAGCGGGTTCATGTAACGGTCGTTACACTCGATAATGTCGATCTGCTCGTCTTCGTGGATCGCTCGGAGACCTTTGTACCTGAAGGGGCTGCAAACATCCCACCTTCACCCTGGCAAACACCTTTTCGGCTGCAAGTGTGCGAGCTTTCCCTTGTCCAAGGTCCCCACATGTCATCCAGATTCTTATAGACGATGGTGTCCCTCACGATGTCGGTCAACCTGTGCCACGAAATTTCGCCCTTCTTGTCCTGCAAGCAGGGTGACGCAAGCTTCGCTTCATTCCTCTCTCTCCGGAGCTGCATCAGGCAAGAGCTCTCAGGATCTTAAAACACAGAAACTTCGGAGTCGAGGTGCTGTAATATGAGAACCCGGAGAACTTGCTGTCTTCCGACGGCGTCCTTGTACTTGAACTGCGCCTTGTCCCGGCACCTTGGCATGCCTTTCAGGGGCGGCTCGACGTTCCGCCCGCCGGTGCGTTCTGCCACCGCCCGCACTTTAGCGAAGAAAACCGGCGCTTTCTCCTCTTGCACGCAGCATTGGGAATGGAAGCAAACGGGCCCATGAGAGACAAACCCACAACAGTCAGCGAGGGGCCAGCAGGCGAAGGCAAACTAACTACAGCAAGCATGCTTGATAGTTTGAGAAGCTGAAAGGAAGCCGATCTCTCTGTGCATGTGTCACAGTTCACCAGTATAGTCCTTGCAGAAGGCATAGAGCTCCTCCAAGGTGTTCTTGTACCTTACAAGGGAAATGCGCAGACTTTGCAGATTCAGCCTCAGCCAGGCCGGCCAATCTTACTGAAGCACCCTTGGACTGATCATTAGAGAGGAGGCTTCCGGGAGGAAGGAGCTCTCTGCGGACGGAGCTGCGGCTGATAATTCATCTTCGTGGAAAAGGAGCGCCGTTTCTGCCAGTCCTTCCCCATCATGTCCACGAGATCCTTCAGCTCGGGGTTGTAGCTGGGAGGCTAGGGAGCCTCTTGAGTCATCAGAGCACTGACGTCACGTCAGCTGCCCAACATGCAGGGATTCATGTCAGAGTGGCACCGGCATATGCTTGTCCGGGAGGTTGCGGGTGTTTCGGGATGCATGGCATGGCCTTGTTGGGCTCGTACTTCTCCTTGAGCTCCCCGCTGAAGGCCTGGAGTCGATCTGGAAGAGCGGCGATGCTCTGAGAAAGGCTTGGGGTTTGGGGCTTGAGAGAGCGGACACAAAGTCTATGAAGGCGCAGCGCCCAGCTGCCCAGCCACCACCCACCAGTCCGAACTCCAACCAACCCTCACTACAGCACCTCAAGCCTTTCAATGTACATCGGCGGTGCCATAGTACCATAATGATGCTGTGGGTGCGAAGGCCCCTTTACACAAGACAGACTCCCATACAGGGAGGCAGACGCAATCCTACACCCCGTCCTCGTAGTGGTGCAGTCGCGTCGCCCCACCAGATAGCTCCTCAGACTAGCAACGGATAGTCGGAGGCGAGGTTTTCAGGCCCATGAGCGTGTATGGCGTGTGAATTCGTCTCGCGTGGCCATCCCCCGGTGCCCTCGACTGGCCCAGCAGGGTTGTCTGAGTAAGATGCCTGTTTTACCCCACACACACACACGGACACACACACACACAAACACAGCCACACAGGCGTATATACCCCCTAAAAAGCCGCATGGATACGCGAGACGCGAGTGCAATTCTCTTCTCCAGCACCGGATCCGGCCAAGGCACCAGCGCTGAGTCGTAGGTCGTGGGCATCGTGGCCGGGTCGACTTCTTCTTCGTCCTCCCTGCGAGCGTGCTCGCTGCTTTTGAGGACAAGCGTGAGAACCAATTTAAGAACCCTTCGGGAGCCCCCTCCGACCCAGAACTCCCCGAGCAGCCGCCGGCCTTTTCGGCTTCGTTGGCTCCTGGGCGTCTTCCGGCTGCACCTGCTGCTCCAGCCGCGACAAGCGGCGCTCCAGCTGGGCCATGTCTTCGCCTTCCGTGAGCTGTATAGTTACAATTGACATAGAGTTTCTGGAGAGTGGCCCTTTCCTCTGCAACTTGATTTGGCGGAGCCGGAGCACAACTGGGAGGATGAATGGACTTGCGAGATGACCGGGAAAGCTCCACGGAAACATACATGGCTTCACAATTTGGTTATGAGATTAACGAATTGAAGACTTTGGTGCTGGACATAACCCCGATTACACCATAGACTGCAGTCTCCTACGCTGAGCATAAACTTGAAATTGAAACTTCTTCGATGCTCCACGGAGGGCTTTCGTGCTGTGCGAAACCTCCAACCGACCATCATGGCAAGTCTGCCTTAAGGCAAAGGCAGGCCGGGCCAGACCCCACTTCTGGCTCCAGAAGCTCCAAGGGCATGCCCTTCTACAGAAAGCTTCAGGAACTCTTCAAGTTTCAACCCCAGAGATTCCACTAACATCCCCCTTTGCAAGCAGGGACTTCTCTCTCAAGCTTCACTGCCCGGGCCCGCCTCCTTCCGGCTTTGCGGCTCCGGTGCCGCCGCCTGACTTCAGCCTCTGAAGCTCCGCGGAGAGCACGGCGAGGGCGGCCCCCATCTTGCAGAGCAGCGCCGTGATCTCAGTCAGCGAAGCAGGCTCCAATTCTGAAACATTCTGAAACCAGGGCCATCGAGGCAAACGTCTTGCTGTTCGAATTTGCGGCCCGGTTGCGTGGCCGTTGATGGCCAGGAGCCACTCCCGCCTCTCCTCCTCCGTCGCCGCCGTCAGGCGCAGGTGCGTCAACGAAGGCTCCGCCTGCACGAAGTTCGACACTTCGAAGGCGTAGCCCTTAATTTCTGGCGGGAGCTTCTCGTGCTCGGGCTTGGCGGAGCCGGTGGCTCCCAGCATCAACCGGGCTTGGCGCTCGCCAGAGGCATCGCGGAAGGTCTCGAGGATGCCGGGGCCGAGGAGAACGAGCACCTTCTCCCAGGTGTCGGTGCGGGGCTGGTACTGCCACAGCTGGCCGCGCTTGAAGGGCGCTTGCATCTGTGGCAGGCCGGTCATTGCGAAGGACAAGTCGAAGTCCTGTCGGTCGCAAACATACCCTGAGACCCTAACCGGTCCACTGGAAGATCTTGAGATACACGTGTCACGGCATGACAATGACAGCCATTTACACCACGAGTACTCACGAGCTTTCCGCCGTCGGTCCTGCATGCCGTTGCCGCCGAAGTCCTGCAGAGGCTCCCACGTTCCAGTATACTTCCAAGACCAACCCCGGCAACACCTCAAAAGAATGCAAGAAGAAGCAATGCAGGCGCTGCAAGAGAGAAATGAAAGCCGTGGCTTCTGCTGTGGTGGACCCCGAAACGCGCCTCGGCCCTTGCACCGCCGTGGGAATCCATCAGGTCCTGCACCATAGTTCAAGGAGGCTTCCGATGGCTTCGGCCTGAAGGCTGCTGTTCTGCCCCAAGAAACCCCAAAACAATTGAACAAAAGCCCGAACCATCAACAAAACCTGGAGCCGCCTTGGCGCCGCCGCCGCTCGAAGCCGCAGCGAGCTCGCCTTCCAGGGCCGAGAGCTCCTGCGCGAGAGCCCGAAATCCCCCGAGGAAACGCAGCTCTGTGAAAACTTTTGGCTCGGCCGGCGCATTATGACATGATGCAAACTGCTGCAAAACCTGTCTTGGAAGAGGCCCTCCCTATAAAGCGAAGGGCCTAACCGGGCCTAACCCAGAAAACGAACACAATCGAAGCGGTGCAGACGCTGAAGGAAGAAGAGACGTGCACCTATGAGGACAAAAAATCTCTCGGATTCCCCGAAAGGCAGCTCCTGCTTCAGGGCTTCGTTGCGGCGGCGAAGCGACATCGGCGGTTGGTGGTGCGGGGCGCGCTGGCGGAGCCAGCTGGTGATGAAGCTTTGCGGGTCCTTGTGGAAGCTAGCGATTTCAGCAGCTTCAGGTGCAATGTACGTGTATACGCCAGGGAATCTGTAAGGGAAGCTCCACCCGCCTGCGGCGTGATCGGCAACATGTCCGTTGCGAGGTCCGTCGTAAGCGGCTGTATCACCGCAGTCAGGTAGGACTCGATGGCTTCCGACGACATGGCCATGGCTGCCAAAGGCTTGAAGGCGAGAGGCAGAGATGCGGAGAGGCGCGGGAGGCGGAAGTGCCGGGGAGCTCTCGAGCAAGAAAGCGCGTGGACACCCGTAGCAGCGCCTCGCCTCCGATCGAGATGATCACATAATCTCACGCCGGAAGGAGACAGAGCGGCCTTTGCAGAGCCTTTTTCGAGGCGGACGCGGGACTCGGTGTTGGGTGGTCTGCGCTTCGGACCGAGGCTTCAGCCGGTGATGCGCCACAGATATAATGACTGATATAATGTGCACTGCTGCTCTTTCTCACCAAGACGCTCTAGGTTTTTGACTCAAAAGATGCTGGCACTAACATCACAAGCCCATAGAAGCAGCCAGAGCTCATGCGCACCGGTAAGTCAGTAGAATCAGCCACCGCTCTTCTCACGAGGAGCAGCCGTCGCTCAGAGCTGCAGCCTGCAGCAGATGCGAAGATTCGGAGGCTCCCAACTTCGCTACGACCTGATCACGTAAACCTGCCCACACAACTCACCCTACCACTCGAGAGCGCCCTCTTTGAGGCTTATAAGCTGTATGCCATTCTGAAGCTAGGCAGACATGGGAAACGTTCTAGGACCAGGATCTAGGTGCGCTTTGGCTGCGTCTGAAACCACGACAAAGACCCGCACGCCTGAAAGAAGAGGCAGCCTGCATCTCCTCAACTCCGCCCAGCTCCGCCATCTCCACCTTGCCGGGAGAAGTCCTTTGCAATAAACCCCGAAAGCTCGGAAGCTACAGAACATAGAAACCCATTAGAAACCCCAAGCCCCATGAAACCCCCATAGGCTCTTCGGCTCTTTGCTGCTTCGGCTCTTCGGCTCGTTGGCGCCGGGAGGCGTCGGATCAAAGAAGAAATCCGCCTGACCCCCGGGGGCCTGCGCCGCAGGGCTCCTAGCTCCGGAGCACCGAGAGAGAGGCGCATCCCGCCTGCCACTTGTATGCACGAGTGCAGCGAGACGGAGTGAACCCCCAAAACCTGAATGAAGGACCTCGGCCCTTTTTGAGCTTCTTCTTGGCCCGCCTCCGAAGCGATGGTAGTCGCGGCTGAGGCAGGAGCTCTGCAAGGGCGGTTCGTTCACGGCATCCGGCGGAGCAACCTGAAAGCTGCGGAGGCCTTTCGTCTAGGAGGCGGGGGGCCGCTGATGCAAGGCCAGAAAGCCTCCTCTTGCCCTGCAAGACACAATGCCAAGAGCATACTGCAAGCTCCAATTCGTTCGGGTCTAGGGTATCTGGTTCTCTATGCCCATCCCACCAACTCCAAACTGCTCGAGCTCCGAATCATCCAACTCCTGGGGATCGCCTCCCCCAGCGCCGGCCTTCGACGGCAGCGGAAGCACGAAAAGTCAGGCCTGGGGTTGATTGCTTGGAGGGTCGGGGGACTTACTAAGTGGTTATTTTGTAGAGTTATAAGTACCATAACCCCAATTAGGATCCCTTTTAGGGTACTTTTAAGTCTACTTACTACCCAGTTACTAAGTCCCCCGAGCCTCCAAGTGGAGGTGTAGACAATTACCAAGCTTCCGACAATGGCTCACTGCGATGCTTCAGGGCAGAAGTGTAGATTCAATAAAGCGGAAGATGCAGCATCCAAGCCCGCTGGAGACCCTGAATCCTGAACGCACAGAGTCATCGTCCAGACTGGCCCGCCTCAAGCTGCATGGAGAAGTGGCTCAAGCTGCAGTGCCCTCAACAAAAACCGAAGCAAGCCAGGACTTTGGGCACCGGCTTTGTGTCAGTGCTCGGGGATCTCGTGCTTCAAAGTCCCCGCGCAAAACCTGATGCCACCAAGGACAAATAACATGCTCTGCCTGTCAAAAACCCCTCTCCTGCACGCAAAGAAAGCTGACAAGGCTAAAGACTTCCACTTCGAAGCATTGAGTAAAGCTTCCGACGGGCACCTTATACTCTCATCTTCAACAACCGGGCCCGAAAAAGTTCAAACTTTCTAAGATAGAGCTAATATATAATGCCAAAAAGTTTGAAGTTCCCCCGTTCACTATCTAAGTAAAAGCTTCCATTCAACATGAGCCCAGGAGCATCTCATCGACCCTCCGGCTCTGTCCCGATGCTCGCCCAAAGAGCCTCCGGTGCTGAAACGTCATTCAGACACAATGGCCGTCACTGACAGGAGTGCTTCCGTCATCTTCAGAACGGGTGACTACGAGAGGTTTTGGGGATACTTGTGGGGAAAACTCAGATCAGCCAACGGAGCCCTAGACGAAACCCGACAATTCTGAACCACAACTTGTGCGACAGGTGTCGAACAACGTTACGAAGCCAACTCCTTCCCGTGAAGTTAAGTTGGAGGATGCGTGGCAGTAGAATCCAAAAGTGGGATCTCCAGTGCTTAGGTTTGGGACTTGACAGAACTTGGAGCGCCCAGCAGGCCTGCAAGACCACCTCAGAGCAACTGTGTCCTTTTGGGGTCCCTCATCCTCCTTTATACAGCTTTTGTGTTTAGGAGGGCCCTCTCATCCGCTGTTTTTTAGGGTTTAGGGTTGGGATTTGACAGTTGCCGCATGCTAAGCGTATGCATCAGCCTGAGTCGAGCACACCAATGAGGCAACCAACCAGCCAACCGATCGACCAACCAACCGACCAAGCCACATCTCAGCCCAGACCATCCCTTTAATGTGGGCAGTCCTCACCGTGAAGATTCTAATTTATTGTATGCTTGACATATGCTAAGAGGCAAGGTCGATTGCTCTATGCAGAGTTTCGGTGTTGTGCGGAGATCCCACACCGAAGAGCTTCAATACTATGAGCCCGGATGCTCAAACTCCGAGTCAGAAGCAGCACAAAAAAATGCCTCCGAGCAACTTGCTGGAGATGCCCCCAAGCTCTGCCAGAGGCTGTTGAGCCGAAGGTCGATAGGGTTTGGGGTTTAGGG